AATATATTAATAAATAAATAAATCTTATATTGGATCAGTAAGAATTAAATTATCTCCAATTTCTAGGACCATATGAATATCAGCCTTTCAGAGTTGGTGATAGGGTTCATAGATGCATCTTTTTAAAATATGTGACCTCTCAGTTCTCCTAGGCTGGCCAATCTGTTTTGCACAGGTTGCTCTGTCCTGGTTGTGAGACTTGCATATGAAGTGTGGCCGTATCATGGGTATCAATAGAATGCTCCAGCTGACCTTTTGTTAAGCCTTTAAAAGGGACAACAACAACAACAAAAATTGGCACATGCAAATGTACCTTCGGTGATTAACAACAATTTTCTTTGAATACTTCGTGATTTTATTCAAGGCAGACCAGAAATTGACTTGAATGAGATAATGTGTGAATGCATTAAAAGGCACTCAGCACCGGGCCAGTGCTCAATAAACGCCAGTGCTTATTACCGTTATTTTTATTATTTGGAAGGAATGTCACCTATTTCCTCTCATTTTAGTCCTCATGAGCATCTTTTACTCTAAACTTCAGTGGTATGAAGGATATATATTCATCCTCTTTTCTGAGGACTGGCTGCCCTGATGATGAAGGTGATAGGACACAGTCAGTAGCCCTGGAAGCCTTACTCCAAATGCTAGGGAATTTTGCTGAGTCAGCACAACCTTGCAAACAGGCAGCTGCCTGAAAGATTGAGGTCATGTTCTGAATGAGCCTACCCCAGGGAATTGCTATGCAGAGCCAACACTCTTCCCTGGCAGTAAGGAGTGAAGAGCAGCCCTGAACCCCACTTCCTAACATTCCTTTAAACAATGTACTCATGGCCAGAATTTAAATGCTGCATGCACAAGGGAGGTGGGGTTGTTACATATGTAGTTCTGTTCAACTCGCCCTGTAGAATTCAGGTATTGGTCAGAATCCTTTGTCCTTTCCCTGGTCATGAAGTTCTGTTATGATCTGGGCATGCTGATCTCCATCACAAATCGCAGATGGCATTGGAACAATTCCACTGTCATTAAGTGCTTAAATGATGTTTATAATCCCTAAACAGCTAGAGTACACATACTAACGTCTTAATTTACAATCCTGTTGCCAAAGCACTTCTCTTAGAATCTGGTTTAATATTTCTTTAGTTTCACACTCCAAGTCCAATCATTATAATTAATCCCAATCTCCCTAATCAAGGATGCATGTCTTTATTGGAGTCTTCCTAAAAGGCATGGAGGTTACAAATGGATGGATTTCATTACTGCTCATGATTGTGGTCAGTTGTTTGCGACCATTTCCTTCTGGGAGGCTGTTTGAAAGCTAAATTTCATTTAGCTGCTAACAACACACACACACACACACACACACACACACACACGACAAAAAAATAATACACATCAATTTTATTACAGATATAAGAATGAGATAAGCTGAATCACCATGGAAGGGCTAGTAGTCCAAGATACACTCATGCCTCGTGATTGGCAAAGAACTCCCTCCCCCAAGTCCATTGGCAAGAGGACAAGGGATCAGAATATCTGCATGCTGCCTTGGAGAAGTGACTCACCCAGCATGAGTGGCCAGGTCTGATCTATTTAAAAGCAGATACAGGGAAGTAGCTAAAAAGTCCTCTCAAAATCCTGCAAAAGTGGGCTTTCCCTCCCAAAAGAGAATAAGAGAAGTGAATTCCCTCCTCAACCTCAGATTCCTTGAGAATACAAACCTAATGGAGTCCCTGGCACACAATAGATTAATACATGTTTGCTGGAACTGAAGTTAAATCATTGAATGTGCATCACTACCTGACAGAGTAGATACTGTTCCCATTTTATTTTTAAGAAATTGAGAAAGATCAGTTTGAGCCGAAACCGGTTTGGCTCAGTGAATAGAGCGACAGCCTGTGGACTGAAAGGTCCCAGGTTCGATTCCGGTCAAGGGCATGTTCCTTGGTTGCGGGCGCATCCTCAGTAGGGGGCGTGCAAGAGGCAGCTGATCGATGACTCTCATCGATGTTTCTCTCTACTCTGTATCTCTCTCCCTTCCTCTCTGTAAAAAATCAATAAAAATAAATTAAAAAAAAAAGATCAGTTTGATAACTTGATAAAAAGGAATCAAACCAGGACTCAAGTTTAGGCCATTCTGGCTCCTAAGTTAAGGTTCTTTCCATTAAGTCGTGCTGCCGCAAGCCACCTGCTTTACTAAATGAAGGAAAACCCTTTAGCATTTTTTTTCTAATTACAAAATTAACAAGATTATTCTATATGTGTGAAATGCCCTTGTATGCCCATCTCCTTATTCTCTGCAGGTAATCTTATTCCTTTAATCAAAATGTGGAATGATTCCGCATCAACACCACTTCTTTGACTCTTCCCCACCTTCCCTTTCTTCACTGCTGTCACTGAGAAAGAGGTTCTGGGTGACAGATTCTCCCACCCTAGAACCTTAGCCCAATTTGTACATAACCTCAGAGGCTCCAGTCCTGGGGAACGCTGCTGACTTACTTGAAGCCTCACTGGCCCCATTTTGGCACTACATTGTCAGAGTTGAGCTGGTTCCTCAGACTCCTGCTGAGATCGCCACAAGCTATTCAAGCTGTAATTAGTGCTCAAAGTAGTAGTTTTTAACAACTCAGTTAAGGAAGCTGTGCTAAATGGTTTGGAAGTGTGGAGATTACATATATATATATATATATATATATATATATATATTTTTATATATAAATAATTTTTTTAGTTGATTTCAAAGAGGGAGAGAAACATCGATGAGAGAGAACCATCCATCAGCTGCCTCCTGTATACCCTCCAATGGGGATCGAGCCTGAATACCAGGCATGTGCCCTGACTGGGAACTGAACGGTGATCTCCTGGTTCATAGGTTGACGCTCAACCACTGAGCTATGCAGGCCAGGCTGGATGTGGTTTTATATTGGCTAGATCAAAAGCAAGCACCATATCATTGGCTATGTTTAAAAGGCAGTTTAAAAACCAATCTTTAACATCTGATTATATTTGGTTTTATTAGTTCAGTGCTCTTAGACTGTGTGTGAACAGACTATCTGAATAAAATGTGTCAAAATCAATTTTTTCCCTCTATCAAACACTAGAATGTAACAATTTCTCATAGTATTAAGTTGGGTTATGTTTTGTTTTGATACATGAATACATCTCTAAATGTGTACTTTGCTTAGCTTAAAACTGAAAAGGATATGTACATGTATATATGAGAGAAACATTTTAATTTAGCCCTGACCAGTTTGGCTCAGTGGATAGAGCATCAGCCTGCGGACTCCAGAGTCCCAGGTTCGATTCAGGTCAAGGGCTTGTACCTTGGTTGCGAGCACATATAATATCTAGTAGGTAGTGTGCAGTAGGCAGCTGATCAATGTTTCTCTCTCATCGATGTTTCTAACTCTCTATACCTCTCCCTTCCTCTCTGTAAAAATATCAATAAAATATATATTTTTTAAAGTGTATATAAATTTTATTAAAATTAATATAGTGCAAAAAAGACAAGAATATATCCCAAAATGTTAACTTATTATATATTTTGGTAGAATCTTTAGTGATTTGTCTTTTTACTCACGTTTTTTACAACAAAAATGAAATACTTATGCAAACATTTATTTAAAATAACTCTCTTAAGTACAAACTGACAGTTACAAATGGGGATGTAAAGTACAGCATAAAGAATAGGGTCAATATTGTAATACGTAAGTATGGTGGCAGGTAGGTACTGGAAATATCAGGGGAAAGTACTTTATAAAGTATGTGATTGTCTAGCCACTATGCTGCATACCTGAAACTAATAGAAAATAATACTGAATGTTGCCAAAACCGGTTTGGCTCAATGGATAGAGCGCTGGCTTGGGGACTGAAATGTCCCAGGTTCGATTTCCGTCAAGGGCATGTACCTTGGTTGCGGGCATATCCCCAGTAGGGGGTGTGCAAGAGGCAGCTGATCGTTGATTCTCTCTCATCGATGTTTCTAACTATCTCTCTCCCTTCTTCTTTGTACAAAATCAATAAAATATATTTTTTTAAAATAATACTGAATGTAAACTGTAATTGAAAAATAAAATTTAAAAAATTCACACACTATTCACAAGAATGAAAATAATACAATCATTTTGAAAAAGTGTTCTGGAGTTTATTGTAAAATTGAGCATACATCTATGATATGATCCTGCGATTCTACTTGTAGGTGTGTACTCAAGAGAAATGAAAGTGTATATTAACACAAAAACTTGTGACAAAAGTTCAATGCAGCTTGTAACTATAGCCAAACACTGAAAACAATTCAAATATCCATCAATAGGTGAATGAATAAACAAATTGTGTACACCCATATAATGCACTACTACTCAGCAACAAAGACTGAAATCTTGATATATGACTGAATAAACCTCAAAACCATTATACTGAGTAAAAGCCAAATACAAATAAATACACATTGTATCATGCCATTTATATAAAATGAAAGGGAATGCAAATTAATTTAGTGACAAAAATAAACAAACCAGATCAATGATTGCCTGAGGCCATACATCAGCAAAATCTGTTGTTCCTTGAATTTTGATTATCATCTTTCAAACAACAAAAGATTTTAAAAATATTTTTCTATTATGTCGATATATTTTTATATATGCATTTTGTCCTCCAGATATTTTCCTATTACATTATTTCAACAACAACAAAAAAGAAAAATTTCCATTTTATTACTTAAGTATTTAATGTTTTAAAATTAAAGATACTTTGAAAATATTTAAGTCAACCTGGACAGTGTGGCTCAATGGTGGAATGCTGACCTATGAACCAGGAGGTCACAGTTCAATTCCCAGCCAGGGGACATACCTAGGTTTCAGGCGAGATCCCCAATAATCGGGTGTGGAGGCAACCGATCAATGATTCTCTCACCATTTTTGTTTCTCTCTCTCCCTCTTCGTTACATTCTGAAATCAATAAAAAATGTTTGGGGGAAAAACATTAAAGACAAAGATTAATAAAAATAATCTTAACTTTGAAATGTGGCTTTTTTAATAGCAAAATGGAAAAATGAAAAACAATCTCTCATAAAAAAAAAAAAAATTCAGCACTTCCAAAAATAACTAGAGAGGCTTACATACGCAGAGCTAATTCAGAAAGAGGATGATATCTTATTTTAACCCCCAAAAAGAAAAAGAAGTATTTACTGGACCTTAATGAAATTTCAATGTTATTTAAAAATAAATGATTCTTAAAAATAAGGTTTTGGTTTTTTTCTTTTAACATTTCAATATATTCTCTGAAATGGCATCTTGTTTACATAATATTTAACTTAGACATACAAAATATTTAAAATCAGCAAAATAAAAACCAGTAAGACAATTTGCATCTGAAAACCTGGCATTCTGATTAACTGGTTTATATTTTCCTAAGTATAATAATGTAAAACAGGGGTGGGGAACCTTTTTTCTGCCACAGCCATTTGGATATTTATAGCATCATTTGCAGGCCATACAAAATCATCAACTTAAAAATTAGTCTGCCATATTTGGTTAAACATTTAATTAGCTCACCCTACATGGGTTGGCCTTGATTTCATGAGCCTCATACAACCTGTGGGCCAGACATTCTCAACCCCTGAACAAACATTTTGGAATACTCAATATATCAGAAATACAACTATTTAAAATTAACTTTCAACAATATGACACATCAATAAACATTAATACAATATTCTAGCAATCATCTTACATGAAATCAGTGGGAAACCAATTTCTCAACAACAGGAGTCAAGTTCATCTAATAAAAAATTTTATTAAAAGTACCTAAACAAACATTATTAAACACTTTTAAATTGAAATAAGTTGTGAAACATTTTTCCCCTTTTATGAAAAGTTTCAAAAATAAAAGGACAAATATAATTCTAAATATTTCTAATATTATTTTAGTAAATTACTTATTCAATCGCTTCTTTAGGTTATCAAGGTGTTCCACATTAATATCTTCCAATGCCAGTACCATTGCTTTAGACAAGGAAGGATTAAATGAAATAGTCATTAGACAGCACAAATCTATTAGATCTCGCTGACATTTCTGCAAACCCTCCAGGAACTTCTGATATTGAGGAGGGTCCTTTTTTAACTTTTTCATTTCTGCTACTGAAAACCCTATCAGACTAGCAAGTATTTCATCTACAAAGTCTACATCTAGATATGCAGTTCCATCAGAAATTTTTGCTGTTATACTCCAAATGCCACCAGAACTTGAGAGATTTCCAGTTAAGGTTACGATAAAGGCTTTGATTTTCACTGTTATAACTTCCTTTGGTTTGCTGGCCATTAGAATAGATAAATAGATAAAAGGCGGAGAATATAAATCCATGATAGAAAGTTTAGTGCTGTTCTCTGATGATTTTAAAGAACAATTCTGTAAATGCTGATCATTTCCATTATAAATTTGTGAACTCCTTTTTGGTACATAACTGACCAGTTCTCTATTTAATATTGTATTATTTAAGGAATGTACATTTGAACTGATGGTTTGTTTTACTTTATCATCTGTCTCTGAGTTCTTATCTTTATTTGAAAAACTGTGGGTTATGGATACATTATGATTAACTGAAAAAACACTATTGTTGTGGTCTTCATCAGTCATTTGTTCAGATAAATTATTTTCATTCCAATTATCATTTCCATTTTTGCCAATTAATGAAAAATTATTTGGAGTATTAGGCATATGTGAAGATCTTGTTATACTGTCATCTGGTATTCTGTTCAAAGGCAACGGCTGCAATTCTTTAGTCTCCATTTGTTCTTTCTGGAGAACTTCTTCTAAAAGCAAGGCCTCCTCTAAGGAAAAGTCATCTAATTCCCCATCAGTGAAATGCATAGATTGATTTGGTAGTTTCTCCTTTGGTCTTGGAGAAATAACAAGTCCTTGTTCAAAACTTGTCTGTCTTGTGGGAATAGTATTTGAGGAACTACCTATGCTGAAACATCTTCTTTCCAAGGAGGTGTCATTATTTGCTGCAAGTTCATCGTTTTCATCCAGACTTGCCAAGAGTTCTTCATCAGAAGGTTCTAATGCAAGCTCTAGATCATCTGTATTTCTAGGGATGTTATGGTTAGAATTATTTGGTATGACTGAAACTATAGGATCAGGCTCCCCAATTAATCTTCCAAGTACTTTTTCTTGGGCATATTCCCCTAAAAGAGCATCTACTTCTCCTCCCAACACCTTCACATTTTCTGGTTTCAATAAGAGAACACCAAGACGAAAAGAAATGATTCCATAAATCAAAATTTTTGTTCCTGGAGGAAGATGACTATGAAGAACTGGAATAGGCTGATATTCCATTCCCTGCACTTGTATAATTCCATCAGTTAGCTGTAGCATCAACATTCGTGAAGGCTTGGCTTCCCAAGGCTTTTGGGTTACTTGTGTTTCAGCTGTAATTAACTCATTCATAGTATTCTTTCCTCTCAACTTTTGCATCTGGGAATATGCAGGCTGACTTACATCAACCAATGAATTGATCTGCAGAGCAAAAGATCCATTCAGCTCTCCTTTTGGAAGTTCTAAAATGTCATCAGGTAAAAGAGGATGCTCTAAATCTTTCAGATCGGTAAGGAGCCATTGCTCAAAAACTTGTTTATTTATTTGTGCTTGGCTCAAATTAATATTATCATTTTCTTCTTGGATCCAGTTAATACAAGCTTCCAACCACATTACAGGTACTTTAACATGCCATGTAGCTAAAAGCCAGGTTTCAACTCTTAATGCAATACTAGTTACACTCATTTTTTTAAGTAAAAGAAATATACATCTGTTACCTAAAAACAAAAAACAAAAGCAAAAGAATTATAATTCAGTATTTAGAATTACAGTTCAACTTAAATGTTGCCTCTCTAATTATGCACAATGCACCAACAGGCATAACCACACCCTTTTGATTTTTCTCAATTTCAGCATCTTAAAATTCTTTCACTTTCTACATATCCAAAGTTCACATACAGTATATTATGAGAAAAGCTAAAGCTTTGAAAGCTAGTTCAGGCAAATTATTTCTCTGACCTAATATAAATTTCTTAACTTTTCTAGCCCAGATTTTTCATTTGTAATATAACCATCTATCTTACAGGGTTGTTGTGAGGATTACATAACATTTAAAGCATAATATCAGATCTATGAAAGACACATAGTAAACAGTAATTACTATATTAATATCATGATCAGATTTTAATAATTTAAAACAATATCTGAATTTGGGTTTCAGAAATATTCTAAATTCTAATAAAATCAATCTCCTAACTATTCAGGCAATACAAAAAAAGGAACAGCCCTAGCCAGTTTGGCTCGGTGTATAGAGCGTTGGCCTGCAAACTCAAGGGTCCCAGGTTTGATTCCGGTCAAGGGCATATACCTTGGTTGCAGGCACATACTCAGTGGGGAGTGTGCAGGAGGCAGCTAATTGATGTTTCACTCTCATCGATGTTTCTAACTCTCTATCACTCTCCCTTCCTCTCTGTAAAAAAAAATCAATAAAATATATATATAAAAAAGAAACAATATTCACTAAAATTATTTTCATAGCTATATATAATTCATACTCTATTAAAGCATACCATTATGCATGACCATATAGTAGTTAAATATGTAGTCTAAGGATAAAGTTAAAACAAATAATAAATTCTGAGCTGACATAAAGCATCTTATTTGTTTAGCTAAATAATTTCAATAGCCCTACGAGGTAAATATACTTCTGATTTTCTCGGTATAAAACAGAAGCAAACCAAAACCCGTTTGGCTCAGTGGATAGAGTGGAGGGTCCCAGGTTCGATTCTGGTCAAGGACATATACCGTGGTTGCAGGCACATTCCCAGTGGGGGCTGTGCAGGAGGCAGCTGGTTGATGTTTCTCTGTCATCGATGTTTCTAGCTCTGTATCCCTCTCTCTTCCTCTCCGTAAAAAATCAAAATATATTTAATTAAAAAAAACCCCCACACACAAAAAAACAGAAGCAAAACAGTAAAGACTAATCAACCCTATATTCACAAAATTATTTTTTCCTTCTACAGATAAAAATATCTAAAAGTTAGCCCTAGCCGGTTTGGCTCAGTAGATACAGCATCGGTCTGCGAACTGAAGGGTCCTTGGTTCAATTCTGGTTAAGGGCATATGCCTGGGTTACAGGCTCTGTCCCCAGTAGGAGGCGTGCAGGAGGTAGCCGATTAATGATTCTCTCTTATTGATATTTCTCTCTTTCCCTCTCCCTTCCTCTCTGAAATATATATATATATATATTTTAAAATCTCAAGAGTTAAAATTTACAAAAGTTTTAATACATCCATAAGAAAACTTACCATTAGGAACAGGAACATAGGATTTGATGATAGGACTTGGAACTGGTTGTTCAGTGGAGTACTTGTAACCTCTACTGCTCAGAAATAGCCCTGGGAGCTAAGACAAGAAGCAGTAAGGGTTATAAGAGGAAGCTGCAGAATCACTGGTCTGTTTTCATAAGTGTAAGAGTTGGAAGGTATGGTTTTTCAGATCCCTGTTATCAGTCAGGGTAGAGTATAAGTAATACAGAATTTTTAAAATGAGGTTTGGAGTGAGATGAACAAAAGCAAGTGACCATGAGAAATTTACACCCTCTAAGCTTGTTTCCTTGTCTATACAGTACTTACTTCATGGGCTACTATAAAAATTAAAGGAGATGGGAGAGGATAGAGGGCAGAGCACCAGCCCAGGTAGATATTAAGCAGTTAGGTCAGCTGACCCTGGGCAAATCCAGCTGTTAGGCTGCTCACTGGCCCTCAGAATCACCACCTCTGTGGCCACTCAGTTACAAGGCATCCAGCAGCCGCTGCAGGCAGAGAGGCGAACCACCTGGAAGGTGTCCAAGGCCCGCAAACCACTGGACACTGAAGCAGGTCAGAGTAGCTGAGTCTGAAATTAAACAGCACTGCCTGCAGAGGGAGAGAGAGTTCAAGGCCAAGGAAGCTGGGGCTCTGTGATCCCATGGCAGTGGCAGCACTAAGGTGGAGGAGGATAACCAGAAAACCTACTTCTGGCAGAACAGGGATGAAGTCCTGGATAACTTTTGGTCTTGCCTGGGCCTCTAGGCAGAAAACCATGAAAACTACTGCATAAATAGATAAGAAGAGAGAAGTACTTGGTCCATGGATTGGTATTTTAGATGCCCTTATGGGATATGAGCCATTAGCAAAACTCGAATTATTTCTTGTGAAAAGGCATTATTTCTATATATTATATATGGTAAGTCCCTTCATGTTATGACAAATGGCAAATGCTGCTTCTTTGTAAAAACTTAAAACTTATCTGGTGAGGATGTATACTAGGATTGTTTTTTCTACAGGTTACAAAGAAAAGCTTATTAAAATTTTTAATCAGTCTTGGATGGGTTGGCTGAGTGGATCGAGTCCACCTGCAAACTGAAGGATCCCAGGTTTGGTTTTGGTCATGAATACATGCCTCGGTTGCGGTTTGATCCCCAGTGGGGGGTGTGAAGGAGGCAGCCGATCAGTGGTTCTCTCTTGTCATTGATATTTCTCTCTCTCTCTCCCTTTCCTTACTCTCTGAAATCAATAAAAAATACATTTAAAAAAAATTTTAATCAAATGATAAAAGTATTAATGTATTAACATGTGGGGTCTGTATTATGTTTAGATTTCAATAACTGAGCCCTTTAATAATTTAATAAAAATCCTATTTTTTCATCTTCTCCTTCAGAGAATTCCTAAGGTTTTTATTTCCATCTTTCTCAGGAAATTGAGTAACCATAGTTACAGCAGGTAGAAGCAACTCAGAGGGAAAATGTTAGCTAAGGCAGTACGGTTTCTAATCAGCCCACATACAAAAAACAGCTTTAAATCCTCAAAAGTATATTTTCAAAATTGTACTTTACGAAATGCTTGTACCATATAATCCACTTTTTTACTTTTCAAAATTAATCTTAAGAAAACAACCAACAATGAAGATAAAGACTTATGTGCTAGAGTGTTTGTCATTGTTTTTGTAGTGTAGGGGAAAAATACAACAACAATCTAGGAAATGTAAGGTAATAGCATCTTTAAAAAACATTTTAAGGTCAATTTAATGATATGTTCATATTTTATTTTGTTAGGGTAAAGGCCAGCTATAAGCTACACATATCTTAATTCCCACTAATTCTATAATCATGAAAAAAATTTTAAACACACTTTTGATATTTTGTGCATGTTAAACTTGGCTGACCACAATAATCTACATTTGAGATCTTGATTGCAGGAACTGAGCAGAAAGAAAATAGAGTAGGAAAATTCTATCACTCATCACTAAGACTTAAGCATATTTGATTTATAGATTAATTTTCAATGAGCCTCACATATTTCAATTATTTTTTGTTGTTAGTCCTCACCCAAGGACATGTTTCCATTTACCGTATGTTTAGAGTAGAAGGGAGGGAGAAAGATAGAGTCATCAATGTGACCGAGACACATTGATTGGTTGCCTCCTGCATGAGCCCCAAACAAGGCCAAGATAAAACCTAGATCCGAATCAAACCCAGGATCCTTCAGTCTGAGGGACAACACTCTATCCACTGAGCCAAACTGGCTAGGGCTTTTAATTTTTTTAAAAATAGAAAAAGAGGTAAAAGTATTATCCTTTTGGGCACTGTATATACTCATTCAACCAATAGCTGAGACTTAATAATCATTCATTGTTTCCACTATCTTCATTTAAAAAGTAAATGTAATATGTGCTTTAATTCATTTGGGATGACTTCAAGATACTTTTTGAAAATGAGGGGGGAGGGGAGAATTATATATAACTACATATAATATAAATATAACTACATTGTATATAACTACATATAATGACTGATCAGAAAGAAGTAATCAATGGGGCTATTTGTGGATCTTCCATAACCTAATGTAAGGGGGAAAAAAACCAGAAAGGGAATAGGTCTAGGAGTCTGAATCCCAAGTCTGCTATGTGACCTCAGACATGTTCTTTAGACAATTTCTCTTAGTCTTAATTTCCTCATCCATAAAACAAAGATAACAACCTACCCACAGAATTGTAATAACAATTAAACTGCCAGCATAAGATCTGGCACATGGTGGGGAATTCAGGAAATGTTAGCTATGATATTTTAAATAATCATCCAGACAGACAGTATACAATCTCAATTATATTAGCTTATCTAAAGTAAATCCTACCCAGGCCAGTGTGGTTCAGTTGGTTGAACATCAGCCTGTGCACCAAAAGGTCTCCAGCTTGATTCCCAGTCAGAGCATATAACCAGATTGTGGGTTCCATCCCCGTTGGGGGAGCCAGATCAATGTTTCCCTCCTCTCTCTCTTTCTCTCAAAATCAGTAGCATTTTTTCTTTTAAAGAATAAAAGTAAAACCCATACCTCAGTAATATTAGCTCTGATTTCATTGGGAATCCAAAGTGATCATATAGTTCATTACACAAAACAAGAGCCATTGAACGTATCAATAATTTGGCAAGTCCTTGAATGAGCATAGGTAATGATATAGTTTGGATGATAACAATAGAGGATGAAAGGATAGTGAAAAGACAGATTTTCCTGTAATTTAAAGGGTAAACCTACAATAAATTGTAAGAGATAAGAAAACAAGTGGAAAAGGGAAAAAAACAAAAACATGGAACAATGGCATTTGGAAAAGTTAACAGCTTTCACCAATTAGGGTCCAGTCAGAAGACAATAAAATTGGAAGAAGTGCCGAAACCGGTTTGGCTCAGCGGTAGAGTGTCGGTCTGCGGACTGAAAGGTCCCGGGTTCGATTCCAGCCAAGGGCATGTACATTGGTTGCGGGCACATCCCCGGTAGGGGGTGTGCAAGAGGCAGCTGGTCGATGTTTCTCTCTCATCGACGTTTCTAGCTCTCTCTCTCTCTCCCTTCCTCTGTAAGAAAATCAATAAAATATATTTTTTTAAAAATTGGAAGTTTCTGGATGGGGATGCTTACTTTGCATTCATGTTTATTCCTCATCTCTATTGATCAAGGCAGAAAATGATGGCTGGCAACAGAAATACTAGTTTAAAAGAAAGCATCATTTTGCTAAAGTAATTGTGGTGATAAAAATGTATTGGCCTCAGAAGCTACTGAGGTGGTTCATTCTATTCTAGTACAGTGTAAAAAAAAAAAAAAAAAAGAAAGAAAGCATCATTAGTACAGTGCCCCTAAAAGTGCCCATTAGTGTTAGTGAAATGTCCCATATTTTAAATGACAGATCCAATTAAATGTTGCAGATCCTAATCCTAATGGACAGATGTATACAACCCAAGTATTCCCTACCAACACATACTCTTCAATTCTTGTTTACTTAATGAAAATCTGAACTATGTATCAATAGAACCAAAACGTGAGGTTTTATCTCTGAACAAGACTTACAACTCTTCCTGGGGGAGAACATTAGAAAAACTATATTACCACTTAAAGAGACCTTTTATAAATTCCACAATCCCAGAAACTATGCTCTCAATCCTTCCGACCAGTTAAGTGGTGCTTCGACCAGTTAAGTGGTGCTTCGTGAAGTCCTCAGTTCCCTCTGAGTTTTCTTCCTAATTAGGCGAGTAAAAGATAAAGGGCAGTCGGAATCATAGCCGGGTAAAATAGGTGCTGTTTACATCTATTTTGCAAATTACTCAAGAGGGAAATCAAGTTACAATATATAATTAATCACAAAATTATCATTACAAATATATACATATGTAAATGTATACCAATGGTGGACTTAGCTTTATGTGTAAATTATAACACTTCTAAAGTGTGAGGTTAGGGTTGCAGAAGAAGCCAGGAGGGTTGAGGAAAGGTGATGTGAAAACTGGGTACACCACGCCGGGCGATCTCCCGGGTTTGTCAGGATTCGGGGAGCCCTTAAGAAAAGAGACCACCAAAGCTCAGCACAGGGGCCTCAGAAATAACCTAACACAAAGCCAAGTATCAACTGGACAGATAGCTGAACCGGTAACACTGGAGGGCGAAGTTTTTATCACTGCCGAATACCTCGACACCCCGTAAGCTCTTTCCTAGGTGAACGAGCTTGCACGCATAGTTTGAGGTTTGCATTCCCTTTGGATGAATGAAATTACTACTTCCAGAAACTTTCCAGATCAAATGCAGCGACGACACTACAAAGGGCTCACACCGCAGGCCCCATTAACAAGAAGAAGAAAAAAAGAGTAGAATGAAAGGTCTCTTTATAATGGGGAGCACTGTAGAGAGATGCCTGGATCCCCTCCGGACGTGCTGGCTCCAGGTCGGAACCGAAGGGACAAGCTCTCCGGGACTCAAGAGGCCCAGCGCCCCAGCCCCGCCGGCGGAGCCCGGGGTCCCGCCGAGCTGATGGCCGGTCGCCACCCGCCCGTGACGTCCCCCCGCCGGGCCCACGCCCAACGGGGGCTGCGGCCCGTTACCCACAGCGAGTGTCCGCGGCGAGGGCCGGGCCGGCGGGCGGACTGCACTTACCGGCCCGTAGCTCGCCCCGCAGCCGGGCAGCCCGGGCGGGAGGGGGGTTGTGGAGAGAAGGGGAAACGCGAGTGTGGCCCGAGGAGACGGTGGCATATGTCTGAGCCTACAACCGACCTGGGACTCTCGCTTTTCCCCCTCGTGCAAACGGCAGTTCCCCGGCCGCGCGACTCTGAGAACAGGAACCGAAACGGCGCGCTCCCTAGTAATCCTATTTTGCCTTTTTCCCGCCCGAGCGCACGCCCCTCCTCCAAACCCAGAAGATTTCTTTGGGCCGAAGAACGCCCCTTTCCCGCCCCACCCCGTCCCTATACTATCAAACGGGACCGGCGGGAGTTCTCGCGAGAGTTCCTTCCCCTCCCCCAGCCAGTGAGTGCGCGAACGGGAAAGGAGGAGGGCGCTCCAGGCGAAAGCGCTGCGGACGCCATTATCCTCTGTTTCTCTGCTGCACCCACCTCTACGTCTTGCTTACGTCCCGCTCGTGTACAGCCTTATAGGTAATTGGGGTCATTGGGGCTTCGGCGTTACAGACTCAGGCAGGGGATTCGGCATCCCTAACGGCTGCGTTGACTTCCTCCACCAAGTCCGGTTTTTCTCGGGCCCTTAGCGGCCTCCCAGCCTGAAGGGAGGCGCCGGTGGGAGGCGGGGGTGTCGCCTTCCCTTCTGGCGCCTTGATTGACGCGGCCTTGGACCAATAGCTTCGCCCAGGCGCCACCGCCGAAGCCCGAGCAGCCAATCGGGCAGCGGCGGCGGTGGCGTCGGAGAGCGCGGGAGGCGGGGGAGAGCGGAGGGGCCCTGCGCTCGTTTTCGGTCTAGCTGTGACCGGTTGAGGCGGCGCGGCGGCATAGGGACGACGACCTCGCGCGGTGAGGAGCGGGGCTGGGCGAGCGGCGCGTGAGGGCGAAAGTCGGAGACACATTTCGCCGCTGGAGGGAGGCGTTTGGGGGGAGGGCCTGCTTGGTGGTTGGCCGAATCTCAGCGGAGAAACGTTGCCTGGTTCCCCTCCCCCCCACCTCCGCCATTTCCCTGAGCGTTTATCCGCAGTCCGCGTTGGGGTATGCTTGAGGCTTCGGGGCGCCACGAGGCATGTGCCCGCAGGAGAAGCGGCGTTGGTGTCGTCTTGGGGACTAAGGCCTCCTGTTTGGGGAGGAGAAGGGGCCGGCTGGCGGGTGACACCCGAGGGCGGTACAGATGGCCGCAGCCTCTTGGCGGGTCCCGCCGCGCCTCGGCTCCCCCGGCCTGGGCTGGCGGCGGCCGGAGCGGGAAGGTGGAACGGTCGGGGCCGCCGCCTCCGTCGCTTTGTCTCTCCCGCTGTGGGGGGAGGGCGCGGGGACGAGATCGCGGGGCCGCGTGGTGGGTGGGGGAGGGGGTCGGCGCTCGGCTCCGCCTAGTAGCACGTAGTCGCCATTACAAGGGCGGCCATTTCCTGTCGGGTCCGGGAGTTGACGTGCGGCGCCTGTGCGCTCGCCTCGGGCTGTCTCCGCTCCTGCTCCTCCGCCCCAGCCGGTCCCGGTGTCGGGAGTCGGAGGGTTCGTGTTGGCCTCGGGTGGTCACGCGCATATTTAGCGACTTTACTTTTTATTTTTTGCGGCCGGAGGAATGGTGATGGGAGGACCGCATCAACGTGTTTAGGTTCTTTTTTTTTTGTTAATAGCCAGATCCCGTGTCAGCGTGGTGGTGGTTTTTATAGATGATCTTTAAATTTCTTAATCCGAGTCTTCCGCCACACCTCCGTACCCAACTGACGGGCGGGCCCGAAAGAGAGAGGGTTTCAGTTGGTCCTTAGAGTGGTCTTGTCGACGAACGTTAGGGACGGCATAAGTGCTGCCCTTTTTCAGCGCTAGGCTGCCTAGGTATCCCCCGCCTTTTCTCTCTTTCCTCTCTCTCTCCTCTCTCCTCCTCTCCTCTCTCCTCTCTCCTCCTCTCCTTTCTCCTCTCTCCTCTCTTTCAGCGGGGCCACATGTCGCCGCCTTCTGCCAGCCCTGGGAGGGAAGATAGATCAAAGGCTGTTTGTCCTCTCGCCAGTCCGGTTGTGGATGTGTAACTGATGTAAAATACCTTGGTGGTGGTTAAGGCTCCGTTAACTGTTAAATACTCGAGTAGTGCTGGCGGTTTGGGGCTGCTCTGTAAAACTAGTTTTGTTCCGTTTTCGGGGACAGAATTGCTGTTAGTGGGCTGATGAGTTGTGTGCCTTTGCTTTTATATGTATTATGAAAAATAACTTGTTTCTGAAGTGGGACTAGATCCAGTGGCTTTAGTGTTCTTTCCTTTGTAAAAGAAAAACCTAATAATTGTTTTGGATTTTTTTAAGGCAATTATTTGAGGGCTTAAGACCCTAAAATGAAGAAATATGGCTCTTTCGTTTGTTGTGTTCAGATCAGTGTTTGTTAGTGTCTAGTAATCAGCAACCAAAAGGCAAAACTGATTTGTGTTGGTTTTTGTAGGCTACTGCAGCACTAGGGTGTCAGTTGGTCCCGCCCAGAACACTTCAGTTCTGCTCTGCAAGGATATATAATAACTGGTACGTTTTAGAAACAGAGTCATGTCTTTGCTTTTTAAAAATATTTAGTAACAGAGGTTACTTTTCGATAAGCCAAATGGACTAGTTTCTTTCTTTTTTTAACAGATTGGTGTGTCCATATAATCCAGGAAAATGGAAACTGAACAGCCAGAGGAAACCTTCCCCAACACCGAAACCAATGGTGAATTTGGTAAGACATTTTAGCAATTTTTATGATTGTGTATTTAGTCTGAGATCCCTGTGAGTTACATCTTGGCTTTTATTTATGAACTAAAAGTAATCCTTACTCCCATATTTTGTGTTTAGAAACTTGAAAGGGAGCATGCTTTGATTCATATTTAAAAGTCAAAGAATGTATTCAGCCTTGTTAAAACAGACTTAACAATAAGTAATCCATCTTTTAAGATAGAATATGGTTTCTTTCATTTAAGTTAAGTTAGTTAAATTAAGACTGTGATTAAAGATGCCTTTTGAAGATGCTGTGCTTCCTTTGAAATTTGAAACTGTTGATTTCTAGGTAAACGCCCTGCAGAAGATATGGAAGAGGAACAGGCTTTTAAAAGATCTAGGAACACTGATGAGATGGTTGAATTACGCATTCTGCTTCAGAGCAAGGTATTTGTTTTATTCTTGAAAATTTGAAAATGGTTTTTATTCCCGTGGAAATTAAGTTCTGGTTTGGCCCTCTTGGAAGCCTTCAAAGCCTTAGTTGAATAATATGAAAGATTTGTGTGGCTCCACAAGGACTTGTAGGCTGTGCAATAGTGGCTTTGGGTTTTTTTGTGGATTTTTGTTTCTTTTTTTTGCCCTAACAATTAAAATGAAATCCCTTTATATTTTGAGCCACTTACCAACTTAAACCAGGAGAAGGGTGTGGGTAATCCTTAAATCATTAATGGATCTTGATTGCATTGCAAATTTATTAGAAAGCAATTTGGCAATTTATTTGATATTTTCAGGTAACAATGAGAAGGTACCTATTCTTTATATTTGTCTCATGATGGGAACTGAAATTAAACAGTGCTGAAATTTAATGTTCAGTGTATAATGACATTCTGAATATTTCAAATTCCTGCCTTGGTGGTTTTTTTTTGTTTTTTTACTGTTTATTTTTAATATCCCAAATAGATTTTTAGTTCTGTGACAACAACGAAAAATGAGAGGGACTAGATATATATGTAGATATAGATATATATTGTTTTTGTTAAAGCTTGAGAGCATAGGAAGGAAGGGGAATAATTTATCTTTTTACTTTTTCCAGAATGCTGGGGCAGTGATTGGAAAAGGAGGCAAGAATATTAAGGCTCTGCGTACAGACGTAAGTATTACAGAGTTTAAAACTATTATTCCAGCTTCAGTTTATGTTCGTAGAAATTTAAAGAGTTGCATCATAGAAACCACTTAATAGTTTAGATACATGCCATTATAATAATTTCATAGATAATTGCAAGGTTTGCCATTCCTTATTTAACAAAGTTTGGATTGGGTTGGGTGGTGAGGTCTTTATTAAACCTCTTCACTTTCTAATAACTTTGCACCAAATTATTCACTTCAGGTAGGATAACATCTTAATTAGAAATAACGACAGTGTAAAAACCCTTAATTGCATCATTTCCCATGTGCGTGAATCAATTACAGTGTTACTGAAAGCCATTGCAGGTGGCTGATTAAACTCAAATTTTTATTCCCTTTTTTAAATCGTCCATCTGTTCTTTAACAGCTTGCACATGGAACACAAACAAATTAATGTTGAGCTTGCATGATTTAAATGTGGGTAAAGAAGAGAGTAGGCACTTATTTTTAAGATTGGGAAACCTTATGTCACTGCCAATGATTTTAATCTTCATATTTTATAGTGGGTTGACTCTTGTGATTAGACACATTAAATATTGATATCACCAGAAGTAAGCATATTTATAGGACTTGGCTACACCTAAATTCCTTTTTAAAAAAAATTTTCTCAGTGAACACGCTCTTAAATGTTTTCTTGCAGAAATGGAGGCAAATAATAACTTTGTGTTGAATACTTACAGTATTTCATTTCTCTCTTGGTCGCAGATCTTTGTATGTTCTTCTTGAGTACTGTAAACTGAACTTGAAAATTTGTTTAGAATTTTACAAACTTACCTATTAGGATCTAGGAATGCCTTTTAAACCTTCAGGAAACCAACTACCCTTTTAAGAGTTAGGGTTTTTGGTGGTGTGGGAATTTTTGTTTTGTCTTTTATAAACCTCTCTCCTCTTAATCCAGATGTTCTGTATAGTTATCTGGGTTATTAATTTCCCCGTTCCTCAAGAACTTCAGTAAACTGAGTCATGACAGGTTTTGTGTCTACCCTCATGAGCCAGCCTGCTACTGAAACATCGTTTGTTTTCTTAAAAAGAAAAAAATAGTACCGTCATTTAAGGTCCTTAAATGTTAAGCCACAGTCAGATATAGAGAAGTCCATTATTGTGTTAGTCTTCAGAACAACTTAAACTTGTTTTCATTAATTGAGAGTATGAGTATAGTTTGTATTAAATTAAAATTTATTGCTTTTCCCCCTTTTCCCTCTCCTTGTTTTTTTGGCCATATATCTCCGTTGCCCATGTACTGGATCGACTTACCCCTGCGTTGCCCACCATGACGTTGGCCCATCCGCCCCTGAACGCCCATGTGAAAACCCTGGTTGGCTATGCCCAAAAATGTGCTCGTTGCCAAACGGGTACCATACTTGACAACTTCTGATTGAATGCCCATGCCCAATGCCAACATCCACGAACGCCAATGACCAATGCAGTACAATGCCAGTGTTTCAGTCCCAGACAGCAGTGGCCCCGAGCGGTATGTCCCAACAGTTTATGCCTCACTGCCTGATTAGAAAGAGAGAAATGTATTTTATTACCTGCCTTTATATAATTAAATAGTATCCCCTTTAGACGGTGTATTGTTTTTCAAGTTTCTGTCTTATTTTCCCCATTAAGTCTTTTTGTCACTGAACTTTTACCGTGAGTTGCCCACCCAAACGATCCACTAATTTTATTTCGATGGAAGGAGCACAGCTTCAAGTGTTGCATATTTGCTGCATTGTAAATCAAATTGTTACCAAAATAGTCTCTCGCTCTGTCTTTGTGGCCCACCTTGCTTCCCAACATTGCCTGTTCATAATTTTTTCTGATGAAATGCTAACTCTGGTTCACTTTCCTTCACTTCTCATTTGTATTGTCTTTGTTTTGTCTCGCATTTGTATTTGTTTTCTTGCAGAGCCCATTAGTGATCTAATTTCTAACTGGTATCCATAACCTTACTCCAAATATAATGTTCACCACTTGCATATTCCCCCACTTTGCCTAAGAGAAAGTGTGCCAGTTTTACCAATGTAACAGCGAGGGTATCCTTAATTAACTTAGTGGTGGCGGGGAACATAAATATTCAACTCTGCTTCAGTTCTGGACAATTTATTGCCCACTTAATCTGAGCCCTTCCAAGAGCCCATTCTCTCTGTCTCTCTCCAAGTCTCCTAATATTGTTATCATATCTGTATTGGGCATAAAACAAAATGCATGTGTAAACCTATAAATAGGCTACTTTAAATGGGGAGTATTGAATGTTACTTCTCTGGAAAAGTTTGTATGAATACTAGTAATAAACACAAAACTCATTTTTATTTTCCAACTTTTTTGTACTATCTGGTATTTGTGATGTTTGACAGCATATTGAGTATCAGTGCTGATATTGAAACAATTGGAGAAATTCTGAAGAAAATCATCCCTACCTTGGAAGAGGTAGGCTCATTTTTATGTATTTGTTGATTGGGGGGGGGTTAAAGTATGTTTTGGGGCATAGTGGGGGAGGTGGGGAGATAGTGGGTATAACATTTTGTAGTAGTAGCAGCATCGTACAACCTGCTCCATAGTGTACAGGGTTGCTGTATTCAATACTGTTTGTTTTTAAAATGACCACAACGGAGTAAATCTGAACTAAAAATCTGTGGTCATGCATTTTCATGGGCTTTAGTTTTAAAGAAGGTTTTTTTGTGTGTGTTTTGGTTTTTTGGTTTTTTGTTTTAAGGATTTTTAAGTTCTCTAATTATTTGCAGTGTGTAGAGAAAACCATTGTACATTCTTAGTATAAGTTAGCAGTTTCTCGCTATTTAATAATGTATATGTGAAATAAGTTGTAGTAGCTTTACCAATATATGCGACAATAGCCTGATCACACTAGACACTTAACCTATTACTCTTATTTTTCTACTTTCAGGGCCTGCAGTTGCCATCACCCACTGCAACCAGCCAGCTCCCGCTCGAATCTGATGCTGTGGAATGCTTAAATGTATGTCATAGTGCCATTGAACCCCACTGAAGTATGGAGCCTGGCCCATGGGATTAATTTTATTTTTAACATAGTGTGCTTTTCCGGTCTCTATAGAAAAAGGCTTAAAATGATAAATGAATGGTCTTACAACTCACTGTTGACCCTGCTCCATGCTGCAGTGGGAATTAACTACATTTGCAAAGTGCTTTGCAGTCATTTATATTATTATGTTATTTGAATGTTAATAATTATATTGTAGTAACAGCGACATGCTAAATGGCTGCAGTGTGGGTATGGTGTTGCAGGACCTGAAAATAAAATAGTTTTTTAAGGTGGTGCAGAATGTCCTTTTTGGGCCTGGCTATTGAGGATAATAAGCACATAACTGGTAAAGTTATTGAAATATAAATTCAGGTTGCTCACTGCAACAGTATGTTGTTATGCTTATAGCAGATAAGTGTGTATTATTGGGGAAATCCTTAATTTGGAACTAAAATTTTATAACTCTCCCTCTGCAGTACCAACACTATAAAGGAAGCGACTTTGACTGCGAATTGAGACTGTTGATTCATCAGAGTCTGGCAGGAGGGATTATTGGGGTCAAAGGTGCTAAAATCAAAGAACTTCGAGAGGTAAAGACACTTCTATTTTCTTTTTATTTTGCTGGAAATATTTTTTATATAGACTTGGTACAGTGGGCTTGGCTTTTGTTATCCTACAGAGTTTCTCTCCTGAGATTCCTCATCACAATTTGCTGTTGAAATGCCACAAGAAGGCCTGACCACATTATTTTGCACCCACCTTCCCCCCCCCCCCCCCAAAAAAAAAAAAAAGAAAGAAAAAGTCCTAGTGTTATCAATAAAATTTGGGGTGGAGATGGGTGGATTTGCTTAAGGTAGATACATTTATCTGAACCTTCCTAGGTTTCCTAACCTCTTTAGTGTACTTCCCTTGTATTTTGTTTTGTTGGTTTTTTTTCTTTTTTGTTGTTAATGCCTTTTTTTTTTTTTTTTTTTAATTTAATACAGAACACTCAGACAACAATCAAGCTTTTCCAGGAATGCTGTCCTCATTCCACTGACAGAGTCGTTCTTATTGGTGGAAAACCTGATAGGGTTGTAGAATGCATAAAGATCATCCTTGATCTTATATCAGAGGTACCTTGAGAATGCTTATCTTTATGTTTAACCTCATGAAACTTAGATGTCAAAGTATTTCAGGATGTTTAGATGAATGTCTTTTGTCCTTTCCCTAGCAATTTTCAATCCCCCATCTTTAGCTAGCTATTAATTTAATTTAGAAATAAAGAGGTTGAAGAACTATCTTGATTGCTGTTGGGACTTTATAGCCTTTAGTCCTTCAAAGGAAATTTCTACAATACTATATTGCATAGCTTCCCAATTGATAATTTAAATGTCCATATGGGGTACAGGCTCACCCAAGCAAGATACTGAACCTTTATCTGTCTAGAATGCTCACTTCATAGACCCCATTGTGAAACATGAAAGGGGTTGTTGTAGTCCCTTAAGATTGTCTGGAAAAAGTAGCAAGTTGCTACTTCCCCAAGCAGTAAAGCTCACTTTTTATTTAGTACTCACAAAAATAATGCAATTTTTTCCAGTTATTTCCTATGTTTTTGTCCATATTCCTGTCCTATCTGAAGGTACCTCCCAGGAAAAATAAAAGACTTTAGATATTTTGTTTGTAAAAAGAGTGGTTTGTTATCAAGTTTATTTTACTTTGGTCTGTAATATTGCTGTTTTTGTTTTAGTCACCCATCAAAGGACGTGCACAGCCTTATGATCCCAACTTCTATGATGAAACTTATGATTATGGTGGCTTTACAATGATGTTTGATGACCGCCGTGGCCGTCCTGTGGGGTTTCCCATGCGGGGAAGAGGTGGTTTTGACAGAATGCCTCCTGGTCGGGGTGGGCGTCCCATGCCTCCGTCTAGAAGAGATTATGATGATATGAGCCCTCGGCGAGGACCCCCTCCCCCTCCTCCCGGACGAGGTGGCCGGGGTGGTAGCAGAGCTCGCAATCTTCCTCTTCCTCCACCACCACCACCGAGAGGAGGGTAAGTTTCTTTTCATCGATATGTTACTAACAAGAGGCTGTAGTTTAGGGGTTGAGCCAGGTTAGGGTTTTTGTTTTGTTTTGTTTTGTTTCATTTGATGTGTGTAATGTTAATAAGCTGAGATTACAACCAGTACTGTTTTTGCAGAGATCTAATGGCCTATGACAGGAGAGGAAGACCTGGAGATCGTTACGATGGCATGGTAAGAATTTTCATTTGTCATCAATGTATATTTCAATGTGTAAGGCATCTAAAAGTATGTGTAGTTAACATTTTCCCTAAAAAAAAATGTTGCTTGAAAAGCTTGTCTTACAAATTCACTCCTTAGATAGCCATTTACATCATTTTGGTTCTTTGTTGAACTAGTAAGACTTTATTGAGCCATCATTATTCCCCAAAGTATGTATTGTAGAAATATAAACCAGGCATATAAAAGCAGTAACTATGACAAAAATATCCTGCCAGGTTCATATTAACAGTTCCTTGTCTCAACACAGGTTGGTTTCAGTGCTGATGAAACTTGGGACTCTGCAATAGATACATGGAGCCCTTCAGAATGGCAGATGGCTTATGAACCACAGGTTGAGTATCCTGGTTGTTTGCACTCATATCAGTAATAATTAATATGTTTGCCTATTCACCAATAAGTGTCTTTTTTCCCCCCTCCTATTTTTCTTTCTTTAAATGCTGTGTACCTGTGGTTTCTTGCCCTAAGGATTGCCTTCTGAAATATATTTACTAGGGAACATATGGGACTTTGGTTTCCTAAACTGAGGAATTTTAGGAATACTAAGATATCTGAAAAATAGTCTTGAAGGCAAAGTAATTTTCCATTTTTTCTTTCCATTTTTAGGGTGGCTCTGGATATGGTAAGTTTTCTCCTTTGTGAAATCAAACATTATTTTTTGCTTTCTAAAAGAACTTAATGCTCATTATTTAAATCAGATTATTCCTATGCAGGGGGTCGTGGCTCATATGGTGATCTTGGTGGACCTATTATTACAACACAAGTAACTATTCCCAAAGATGTAAGTATCTTTACTGTATTAACAATAAACATTTAATTATTTTAAGTCCTCTAACTTTTAATAAAAGATTTTAACAAATATTCCATTTTAAGATTAAAATTGTGTTTTTTAAGAATTTCAGTGGGGTATCCTCCCAATTTGGGATTTGTCAGGTGTTGTCCAGTACTATCAAAAGCTGTGAAGATAGTTTTGAGCCCTTGATTCGTTAAGAAAATGTTGAAGTAATTGCATTGTAACTTAAATCTTGACTAGTTGGGGAGGCATTAAAATTCAGAAAAAATAACTACAAAGTTAAATTCTCGAAGGTCATTTAAAATATAGGTAATGTGATTTATTTTAAAGTATACCATAAATTTGTTTTTGAAAATTTTTTCAGTTGGCTGGATCTATAATTGGCAAAGGTGGTCAGAGGATTAAACAAATTCGTCATGAGTCAGGAGCTTCGATCAAAATTGATGAGCCTTTAGAAGGGTCCGAAGATCGGATCATTACCATTACAGGAACACAGGACCAGATACAGAATGCACAGTATTTGCTGCAGAACAGGTCAGTTTAGGTTTAGTTTCATGTTAGCCTACACGTACTAAAACTTTCAAAAGCTTTTCTTCTCAATTGATTTTTCTTTTAGAAGCCATGGTGTCTCAACCTTTTGGGGACCTAACTTCTAAACATTTTAATAGTTTTGCTTTAATTTTCTTCTGCTTTCTTACTAAAAACGGAGACATTCAGTACTAATCTTGCTGGAAGAAGCCTTAACCAAGCAAACTTCTCATTTCTCTGGTGAAAACTGCTGCCAAAACCACTTGTTATAAATTATACAAAGCCTGTAGAAAATGTAGAAGATTCAGTGGATGTTGGTCTAGTTCTGTGTGGAAGACTAGTGATTTTGTTGTTTTTAGATAACTAAATCGACAACAAATCACAGTCTGCCATATGGCACAGGCCATGCCTCTACAGGACAAATGATTGGTGCTGTAAAATGCAGCATTTCACACCTTCACTGGCATTTCTTGTCTTTTTCTACCAAATATTAACAACTTTTTGTTTCATTTTCTTAATTCTGCTCTACTAATGTCTGGTTCACTATTAATCATTTTTTTTCTTGAATTTTACATTGCTCTAATTTGTAATTACTGTTTTAATTCTTATTTCTAATTTAATGGACATGCTTATCGCTTTAATTTAGCATTGAAATTGTCTTAATGTTGATGAAGATGTTACGAACAAAAATTCTAATTCGTCCTTTTTTTTCTTTTCTTTTATAGTGTGAAGCAGTATGCAGATGTTGAAGGATTCTAATGCAAGATATTTTTTCTTTTTTATAGTGTGAAGCAGTATTCTGGAAAGTTTTTCTAAGACTAGTGAAGAACTGAAGGAGTCCTGCATCTTTTTTTTTTTTATCTGCTTCTGTTTAAAAAGCCAACATTCCTCTGCTTCATAGGTGTTCTGCATTTGAGGTGTAGTGAAATCTTTGCTGTTCACCAGTTGTAATGTTTTAGTTCCTTACAAACGGGGGGGGGGGGGGGAGGGAGGGAGTGCAAAAACTAACATTGAAATTTTGAAACAGCAGCAGAGTGAGTGAATTTTAATTTTTGTTCATTGTTGGTGGTTAGAAAATTCCCCCTATGTAATTATTGTGAACACTTTGCTTTGTGGTCACTGTAACATTGGGGGGGAGGGTGGGACAGGGAGGAAAAGTAATAATAGTCAATATGTCCCTGGCATCTATTCAGAGCAGTGTGCAGAATGTAATGCTCTTTTGTAAGAAACGTTTTATGATTTTTAAAATAAATTTAGTGAACCTATTTTTGGTGGTCATTTTTTTTTTTAAGATGGTCATTTTTCAAATGGCTAAATTCTCCAACCTCCCAACTAAACACTAAGTTTGATTTTCAGCTCCTCTGTTGGACTTGGACTTAGGCAAAAAAAAAAAAATAATAATAATCTTTGCAAATTCAGTTCTGGTGATTTCTGGATGGTTTGAATGTCCATTGCTTGGGAAGAAATTCCATCATACGCCCTCAGGCTTATAATAAGCTGGGGATTTTGTTTTTGTAAATGCTTACCCCTACTTTGCAACAGTTTCCTATGTTAGTAATTGTGAAGAACCAAGGTGGGGAGCAGAAGTAATGGTATAAATGTATACCAGGAGCCTGATAGCAAGTTTTATTAATTGGAGTAATACTTGGTTATGGAAGTGATTAATGCTAAATAAATTCTGGTTATTTTTTATTAGATAATTTCTTATCAACAAATTTAAACTGTCAGCCTGCTTAGTGTCTATTAGTTAAACTTTGTAAAATATATATATATTCTTGTTTTTCCATTGTATGCAAAGTGAAAGAAAAAGATGTATCATTTCTTTGTTGTATGTTGGATTATGTAGGAAATGTTTGTGAACAATTAAAAAAAAAAAAAAAGGGAAAATTCCTGTGGATGTTTTGTGTAGTATCTTGACGTTTGTATTAATAATAGTTAAGTTCACTTCCGAATAAAACTCCCATAATGCTAGATTTGATGTGTGCCCAATTTGAGCAAGGGTTGACAGCTGTAAAATTTGTTAAACCGTTCCTCTTGTAAGGAAATATAGTAATCTTAAATTACATACTTTTTGTGTGAAGTGTTTTTCTAGCATTTATAAATGAAATTTGGTAGGGGTGGTAAAGACAATTTTAGCAGTTAGGCTCTTAATCTTAAAGAGGGAGTAGTGCATAATGGGAGCTGAGTCATGTAATTTTACAGCTCCTGTTCTCCCATCACATGAGAAATTTTGAGTCTTTGGTTTCTATCTATAGAATTACTTCTAGTTTGATGTTTGAGAATATTAAAATAACTAGTGTATGGTTCCTGATTCATAAATTTCTAAAATAGTTTGTTAATGACCTCCAACTATCCAGAAGGCATGAGAACTTAGTTACATAGGAAAGGGTTCATGGGGATAGTTCCGCTTTCTTACATTTAGGAAAGAAATTTGTGTATAATAGACAAATGTGACGTGGCCTGTTTTTTTTTTAATACATAATGATGCATGCAAATGTGCCGTTTAAGGCTATTAGTATTTCAGTAACACTCCCCTTTTAGGAGAGAGGAATTGAGTGGTCTTTTGATAATGAAGTACATAGTGTCACATTGCTTAAAATGAGTAAATACTATTGTAGTTTTAAGGTTTTCCCAAGAGGTGAAGTCAGGCTGAGTTGCCACATTGGGATTGCTGAGGGTAGTACAGACTGCTGGTGTTGAAATGAGTCCTCCCCAGAGAAAAGGCGAGGGGGAATGACATTTAGACAAATTCCAACTGTGGAAAGCATTCCTGGAGCAAACACTGGTTTTCAAAGATTTCATTAGTCATTCAAAAATTAGTTATGCATAAATATATTTGAGTAACTGAAAGTTTTAATTTTTGCCTTCTAAAAACAATTCAGGCTAAACACATGAACCTAAAGAATTGGAGAATATCTGGCATTGGTAAAGGGTGAACTTGAATGTAGACTAGAGATTGAGAAAAATTGTGAAGTTAGAAATTACTAAATGCAACATTGAATAAATTTTATAACAAGTACATATGCTAATTTGCAACTTTAAAAATGTAAACAGCCCTTGTTGGGGTAGCTCAGTTAGTGTCGTACTGTTAACACCAAGATTGTGGATTCAATCCCAGTTTAGCACATAATAATCAACCAATAAATGCATAAATAAGTGAAACAAGTTATTTTTCATTAGTATAAACAAACATGGAAGGTTTCAAATTTTAATTTAATTTTCTGATAAGTACCAAAATGACAAAATGGAAATCAGGTTGTACCAAGATTTTACAGCGGGTGGGGAACCATTTTTCTGCCAAGGGTGATTTGGATATAACCTCAATTACAGGCCATATAAAATTATCAACTTAAAAATTAGCCTGCTATATTTGGTCAAACATTTAACTCACCCCTAATGCCTTGGTAGGGCCAGACCAAATGATTTCACAGGCTATATGAGGCCGTGAGCTAGACGTTTCCCTTCCATTTTCAATTACTTCAGTGGTTTGTTTTCCAGTGTCTTAGATTAATACTCAAAATGAGATTACTGTTCACAAACATGACAGGTTGTGATTTGCTTAAGTTTGCCACTGAAGAGGCCTATGTTTTATTTTTTTAGTCCTCACCAGCAAACATGTTTAGAGGGAGAGAGAAACAATGGTTGGTGATGAAACCCACAACCTTTCGCTGCATGGATGAATTTCAACCAGGCCTATATTAAATTTTATTTTCAGGTCAATGAAAATAAGTCCATAAGGTTAGTTTAAAAAACGTTTAATGCCATCGGAATTTTGGAAAGGGGTTTAATCTTTGTGGCTAAATTAAACCTTAAATACTATGGTTATATCTGTTTATTGTCAATGTTTGCCCCTTGCTGGCAAGTTCGAAGCGAAACTGACTTTTTTTTTTTAATATATTTTATTGATTTTTTTACAGAGAGGAAGGGAGATAGCTAGAAACGTCGATGAGAGAGAAACATTGACCAGCTGCCTCTTGCACACCCCCTACCGGGGATGTGCCCGCAACCAATGTACATGCCCTTGACCGGAATCGCACCTGGGACCTTTCAGTCCGCAGACAGGCTCTACCACTGAGCCAAACCAGTTCTGGCGAAACTGACCATTCTTGATGGGAACTTGAACTTGTTCAAAGCAGAATCACAGTGTTTCTCAAACTGTTGAATAGGACCATCTTCAAAATCAACAATGCTGGTTAAACATGAAAATGGCCCACACCTCAGTTCTAGCAAATCAGTCACTATAAAGAGGCATCAAGAATCTGCACGTTTGACATGCAGATGCCCAATAGACATGAAAAAATGCTCAAGGTCACCTATGATCAGATACAAATAAAAATGGCAATGAGGTATCACACCACACTTGTCAAAATGGCAACTATCTGATCAAATGCTGGAGGGGATATGGAGAAAGGGGAATCCTAGTCCACTGTTCATGGGAATGCAGACTGGTGCAGCCACTGGAAAACAGTATGGAGTCTCCTCAAAAAATTTAAAAAATGACCCACCAGTCTATGAAACGAGGTCACAATTTGATTCCCAGTCAGGGCAAATGCCTAAATTGGGGGCTCAATCCCCAGTAGCAGGCATGCAGGAGGCAGCTGATCAAAGAATCTCCCATCATTGATGTTTCACCCTCTCAAATCAATTAAAAAAAAATACCATTTTGAATTAAAAAGAACTGATTGCACTTCTAGGAATATGTCCTAAGAATCCCACAACACCAATCAGAACATACGCACTCCAATATTCATAGCGGTGTTACAATAGCCAAGGTCTGGAACTGCACACATTTACACCATGGAATACTATGCAGCAGTAGGGGAGAAGGTTCTCTTGCCCTAGCCCAGTGGTTCTCAACCTTTCTAATGCTGACCCTTTAATACAGTTCCTCATGTTGTGGCGACCCCCAACCATAAAATTATTTTCATTGCTACTTCATAACTAGTTTTGCTACTATTATGAATCGTAATGTAAATATATGTTTTCCAATAGTCTTAGGCGACCCTACTAGCCATTCTCAACCTGAGGGTCTCGACATTACGATTACGATTCATAACAGTAGCAAAATTAGTTATGAAGTAGCAACGAAAATAACTTTATGGTTGGGGGTCATTACAACATAAGGAACTGTATTAAAGGGTCACAGCATTGGAAAGGTTGAGAACCACTGCTTCCTAGCCAGTTTGGCTCAGTGAATATAGAGTATCGGTCTGCAGACCAGAGTCCTGAGTTCCATTACAGTCAAGGGCATGTACCTTGGTTGCAGACTCCCCGGCCTAGGCCCTGGTCAGGGCCATGTGCAGGAGGCAACCAATTGTGTTTCTCTCACATCAATCTTTGTCTTTCCCTCTTCCATTTTCTCTAGAAATCAATGAAAAACTAATCTTGGGTGAGGATAAAAAAAATAAAATGGATCTTATATCCTTTAAGATAATATGGAGGAAAATGGAGAGTGTTATGCTAAGCGAAATAAGTCAGAGAATGACAAATATCACATGATCTCACATATATGGAATATAAAGAACAAAATAAAATAGGACCAGAAGCATGGATAAATGAAAGACTGACATCTTTTTCTTTTTTAAAATATATTTTATTGATTTTTTTACAGAGAGGAAGAGAGAGGGATGATTAGAAACATAAATGAGAGAACCATCGACCAGCTACCTCCCTCCACACAGAGCCTACAGGGGATGTGCCCGCAACCAGGATACCTGCCCTTGACTGGAATCGAACCCTTCAGTCCACAGGCTGACACTCTATCCACTGGTTGTCAAACCAGTTTTGGCAAGAATGACATCTTAGAGGGGAAGTGGGAGGGGAAGGATGGGATGAGATTAAAAAAACAACATATGCATATATGCATAATCTGTGAACACTAGCAATAATATGGTGAAGGCCTCCTTTCTAAAATGACTGTTAGTGGGGCCTCCTGGGTCTCACGGGGGTTAATTCGGGTCAACCTTGACCATGTGGTGAGTGTTTAGAAGTTCTAGATGAAAGGGTCAATTGAAGAGCTTTCTTTATACTGTTATTCTCATAAAGAGATAAAGTGGTACCCTAGCCAGTTTGGCTCAGTGAACAGAGCATCCGCCTGTGGACTAAAGATCCCAGGTTCTATTCCAGTTAAAGGGACTCGATCCCCAGTAAGGGGGCGTGCAGGAGGCAGCCAGTTAATGATTCTCTCTCATTGATGTTTCTATTTCTCTTCCTCTCCCTTCTGCTCTGAAATTAATAAAGATATATTAAAAAAATATCTTTTTTTTTTTTTAAATAGTGCCCATTTATATTTCTTGCTGAAAGCAAGGAGCCTAGTTCTCAAATAGGTGCACTAGTACTGGAGTACCTACCTCTAGACATACTAAATGAAAAAACAATCCCGTTTGTTTAGTCATGACAGTCTGGTTTTCTGTTGTGTGAAGTACAATCCTACCCAGATATTTGATTGTCTGTCTTTCCCACTATATCATGTGAGGTACCATGTCTATATTTGCTATCTGTGTAAGATAGAAAATTCAACTCAAAACTGCTTTAAGCTATACAGGAGTTTATGAACTCCCATAACTGGAGATCCAAAAGTAGGACAGACCTAAGAGTTGACGTGATCCCATTATCCCAGTTACATTTCTCTGCTATTTTTATTATTTTTATTTTTATTGATTTCAGAGAGGAAGGGAGAGGTAAAGAGAGAAACATCAATGATGAGAATCACTGATTGGCTGCCTCCTGTACGGCCCCTACTAAGGGGGGATTGAGCCCACAACCCAGGCATGTGCCCTTGACCAGAATTGAACCTGGGACCCCTGAGTCCACAGGCCAGCACTTTATCCACTGAGCCAAACCAGCTAGGGCTTTCTGCTATTCTTTTGACCTCCTGTGTGTTGACTTCATATACTCAGGTTGCCATCAAAAGCACTGGAGGAATTTCATTACGTATGTCACAACTTCCAGTGGGAGTGTGGATCACTTTTGGAAGTTCCTCTGGAAAAGTTTTTCTGAAAGGATCCTGAAAACCTATCCTTGAAACTCATTGAGGTGCAATGGGGTACATGCATGATCCTAATCCAGTCCCTGGCAAAAGACTCTATTATCCTTAGACCAGGCCAGACCACACCTGGAACCCAGGAGGCTGAGCTACACCAAGTGTGGGTGGGAGGGAGGGATTCCTGAACAGCAGGGTTCTTTTGGAAAGGGAGGCGGGAAAAGATGTTGAATATGTGAACAGCTCACTTTTTGTATTCCCAACATCTTGTAGACAAATTTAAAAGCCAAAACAGAACACCCACAAACAGTTTATGCTTCATCTCAACAATAAGTTTCTTGAGTGAAGGAAGTATGTTTTACTCTTTGTTTATACTACTACTGTTTTAACTCAATCCTTAATATAGTAGGAATTCAAATTATTTTTTTTAAATCAGTAAGTCTCAGTGAGATAAAATGGCTTAATTTAGCTTCCTAGATTTTTTTATTTTTTATTTTTTTTGCAGATTGCTAGATTTTCTTTTTAATCAACTTCTTTGACTCCCAAAACTTTAGAGCTGCTGGCGTACACAGGAAAAATTCCAAACCCACAGATGTACATTTATTCAACAACTATATTGATGTACTAGTGACTTTTTCAGGAAAAGTAAATCAGTGAAGTCTCTTAAGTTCCTTTTTCTTGCAAAAATAAGAAACTGGAGAGATGAGGTTCTCTTTTCCTAGAGGCAGTTGTCAAACTTACAAATTCCAAATCATCCAAAGATTCGGGTTTTTTTTTTTGTTTTGTTTCTTTACTGTCAGTAACTCGAGTCTACTGATTTTTTAAAAATAGTTGATTTTCAAATGTGTAAACATTTTATATTATCCATAGTGGCTTGTCTCCGAAGGAGAAAAAAAGAATATGCCTCTAACTTTTCACCACTAGGCAAATGTGGATCATCACTAAATTGGCTTTTAATACCTCTCTCCTCATCCTAAAAAAGTATTGTTTAAAAAGTTTGGGGCTGTAAGGTAATACCCATCTCCTCTGTCTCCGTTGGACCATTGATAAAGTCATTACTTGACTATACCAGTGCACATTGATTGACAAGCTTGGTTTGCAGAAAAGTGCCCTTCCTTGGCTTGAGGGAATCGCTGACCAAGAATTCAAATCCCAGCTTCTTGCAAGACGCGGACTATGGATAACTTTGCCACGACCAACACTAAATGAGATTCAGTTTTTAAGTACAATTCCAGGTCATTTAATGACTTCACACATACTTGCTAAGTTCATTCATTTCTTCAAACGTTCCAACCGATTACGGGGCCAGGAATTCAGTAAAAAGAAAGACGAGGCACGGATGGGGATGGGGGACCCTCGACCCGGGTCGCAGCCGACGAAGGCCGTCTACTCATCGCGGCCCGAGGCTCCGATGCGGGGCAGCGTCCAGCCCAGACGTCGCCCTCGGAGAGAGGAGAAGCGGAAGCCAAGTGGAGGAAAGCGGTACATCCACGGGAGTCGGTGCAACTGCGGCTCAGGAAGCGAACCTCAGACCTCAGACCCCGCAGGGAGGCAGGGCCGGGGGAACTCGGACAAAATGGCGCAGCCGCACGGCGCAGGGTGGGCGACTCGGGCCGGCGCGCGCCGGGCCGTCCGGGTGCGTTTCCGGCGGACCATCGACGTCGGAAACGGACTCCGGCGCGCCCCGGGGAGGGAGTGGGCGGGGCCGCTCTCCCGGAAGTGCGGCCGCCCTGAGAGGAGAAGCGGTTGCCGCAGACATCTCCGTCCTTGGTCCCGCAGAAGAAAGAGAGTTCGGCTGTCCCGCCGGCGGCAAAGGTGTCGTTCCCTGGTCCCCAAAAGGAGGGGTGAGATGGACGGGCCCCTGACTCCCCGGGAGTCCGCCAAGTTCATCGCTGAAAACAGTCGGGACGTGTCCATCGACGGCGGGGGCGTGCGGAGGGTGGCCGAGCTGCTGCTCGCCAAGGCCGCGGGGCCCGAGCTGCGCCTGGGCGGCTGGAAGGCCCTCCACGAGCTGAACCCCAGGGCCGCCGACGAGGCCGCGGTCAACTGGGTGTTCGTGGCCGACACGCTCAACTTCTCCTTCTGGTCGGAGCGTGAGGAGCGCAAGTGCCTGGTGGGCTTCGGGGGCAGGACGTACAGCGGGTACTGGTCCCTGTGCGCCGCCATCAACAGAGCCCTGGACGAAGGTGGGCGCCCCTTCTGCCCGGCAGACCCGCCGCCTTTGCGGCGTCAGCTTTCCGGAAGGGTCCCACGGAGCGGGGTGGGAGATGGAATAATGTGTTAAAGTTCTTCATTGCCAGCCCCTCAGCTTTAAAATAAAAGTATGATAAGAGGCTGGCATTAAACATCCTTGTTCAGTGGGAACTGATCCTGATGCCATTATCGCAACCAAGCACAAAAGCCAGTCTGATGAAATCTTAAGAACAAAGGGGACAGATATATATATATATAAAACATTTTACATAGCCAAAATACACCTGATGTCATATTACAGTTGTTAGAAAAGGATGCAACAGTACAGATGAATACACAGAAAATGAGGCACCTGGTCTTTTTTTTATTTTTTTATTAGTCATCCACTTTTAGTTCAGTCCCGTAACACTCATGTAGTTTCATATTAACTGTGTTGCAAAAGAAAGGATCTAATAAATATAAAAATATAACATTGTTTCTCTGGGTTTTCTTTTCTCCCCAAGGGATACCAATAACTAGTGCATCGTACTATGCCACAGTGTCCCTGGATCAAGTTCGGCATATACTTCGATCTGACACGGATGTTCCCATGCCTTTGATAGAAGAGAGGCATCGAATTCTCAATGAAACCGGGAAAATCTTGCTTGAGAAATTCGAAGGCTCTTTTCTTAATTGTGTCCGAAAAAGTGAAAAAAGTGCACAGAAGTTAATGCATCTGGTAGTTGAAAACTTTCCTTCTTACAGAGATGTGACTGAGTTTGAGGTGAGTTGCTTTAGTTGGGGATTTTAGAATTTTTTTTTTTTTTTTTTAATAGCAAAGGTGGAATTTTGATTGAAGAACAAATACAGGTTCCCACGTGGGGAAGAGGAAGGAATCTCAGCACAGTGGGGAGGGGGAAAGAGTCCCCCTGGGGATTTTAGAATTCTTGATTATCTTTTCATTGTCAAGTCTGTTGTGGACTCTTATTTCTGGAACTCCTTTCTTTTGAGAATAAAAAGTTAAATTTTGAAATTTGTTCTTGTGGACAAGGGATATAACAAGTAGTGTTTCAAAGACATTACTTCTCTAGTGATTTCTAATTGGTGTATTCCCATAATTCTTTTGTCCTTTTTTTGTTGTCCTTTTTATTTTTATTTTTTGGTTGCCCTTTTATAATGTTTCAGACCTAAATACAGCACTGAACCTTGAACATGATGTTGTCACTTAGGGATAAAGAGGTCCTTTTAATACTTCAAAAAATCTACTTCATTAGATGAAAATCAGAATGTATAATAAATTTTCTCTATATTTAAATAGTTATTTTATTAAATCTCTAAATATATTTAGGTAAACAATTATTTAATAATTTTTAAATAATTCTATATTAAAAAATAAAAAGTATTTTTTGAAGAGTTCTGATATATATATGTATATATAATGGATTTTCCTTTACATGGACAGAGTACTTTGACAGTATTGCTTTATGGTACAAAATAGTTTAAAAATATTTACTTTTAAAATGGTGAGCATTTTGTATACCATTCCAGGTATGTAAAAATTTAGAATTTTTATCACTATATTTATCACTATATTTTAACTGTGACAGCAATTGAAAGCAACTTCAGTGGATTCACATAATATAAATCTGTTGACTTATTGCCTAAGTTAACAAATTCTTAAGTCAATTTTTAATGTTCAAGCTACCTTTTTGTAGTCACATTTCAACAATTAAAATTAACCATAATATTGATTAAATTGCTCTTTAGAGCCTAAGGACAAGGGGCATATTGTCCCCTGCAGCAGGAACCAGTTGAAAAAGAAAGTTTAACTAGTTTATCTTAGGTTATTTAGATAATAGTTAGCTATAAAGTTAGAGATGGCCTGATTATGTATGTAATTTTTTATTTGCAAATGACAGGAACAAAACTAGAAAAAACGTATTAAAAAGAAGAATTTTTGGAAGGTATTTTGGATAGGCACATCCAGGATCAATCAAGGGCTCAGTGCCTTCAGGATTCAGTGTCTTCTTTTAGTTTCTGTTGACTCCATTTTTCTCTTACTGTTGACCAGCTTTTTCCATGAAGATCCATGAACTTTGCATCTTATTGCTTCTGCAGGGGGGGAGGGTGGGGGGTGAGACAGACAGAGACTTTCTCAGTTTTAGAGAGAGAGACAGAGACAGACAGATTTTTCTCAGTTTCAGTGAGAGAGAGAGACAGACTTTCTCAGTTCCAATTCTAAAACTTATGGGCAAGGACTTATTGAACTGGCAGAGATTGTGACCATTTAGATGTGGCTTTCAGGGTGTGTGGATGGGCGTAGACAGTTCTTAGTATAGAGTCCATAGGTTAGCTTACTGTTGAACTTCATTCTGTTTTAACTAACCATTTTGCTAATGCAGAGGTTACTTTGAGATTTGTCTTCAAAGTACATAATTTCAGCCTTGTTTTTTAAGAAATGGATCCAGTTCCTGGCCCATTTGAATATAAGGAAAAGTAGGTTTATAGTTGTGAGTACACCAAACACAGAGTTTATTCTTGAATGATTACTTATTAATTATTGTATTATTTTCCAAAAAACAACTATAAACCTACTTTTGCCTCATCCTGTATTTGTAGAGGATTTATTTTATTTTATTTATTTTATTTTATTTATTTATTTTTTTATTTATTTTATTTTATTTTTTTTTAAATAAATTTTTATTGTTCATATTATTACAAATGTTCCTTTCCCCCCCTTCTCACCCCACCCTCTGCCCTTTCCCCACCCCCCATTGTCCTCATCCATAGGAGCACAGTTTATGTTCAGTCTCTTCCCACATCCCCCCCTCCCCTTTTCCCCAAGAATAAACAGTTCACTCCCCTTCCATACCTCTGATTCTATTATATTCAACAGTTAATATTGTTCCTCAGATTTTTTTTTTTTAGTTTCCTTGGTTTTTAGATTCACTTGTTGATAGTTACGTATTTGTTGTTCATAATTTTTATCTTTATTTACTTTCTCTTCTGAAAGAACCCCCTTCAGCAATTCATATAATTCTGGTTTGGTGGTGATGAACTCCTTTAGCTTTTTTTTATTAGTGAAGCTCTTTATCTGACCTTCGAATCTGAGTGATAGCTTTGCTGGATAGATTATCTTTGGCTGTAGGTTCTTGCTATTCATCACCTTGAATATTTCTTGCCATTCCCGTCTGGCCTGCATGGTTTCTGTTGAGAAATCAGCTGACAATCGTATAGGTGCTCCTTTATAGGTAACTACCTTCTTTGCTCTTGCTTCTTTTAATATTCTCTCTTTGTCTTTTGCTCTTGGAATCTTAATTATGATTTGTCTTGGTGTGGTCCTCTTTGGATTCCTTTTGTTTGGAGTTCTGTGCACTTCCTGGACTTGTAAGTCTAATTCTTTCACCAGGTGGGGGAAGTTTTCTATCACTATTTCTTTCAGTATGTTTTCGATATCTTGCTCTCTCTCATCTTCTGGGACCCCCATAATTCTGATGTTGGTTCGCTTGAAGTTGTCCCAGAGGTTTCTTACATTATCTTCAACTTTCTGGATTCTCTGGCCTTCTTGCGTCTGCGGAGGAGTGTCTTCTGGCTCTTTATGTTCCAAATCTTTGACTTGATTCTTGCGATCTTCCATTCTGTTTTTAGGACTCCATAAAATATTTTTTATTTCAGACAATGTATTCTTTATTTCTTGTTGATCCCTTATTATTTCTAGTTGATCCCTTTTCATATCCTCATAGGTCTTGTTTATTTTATCGGCCTTTTCTAGGAGATTCTTGAACAACCTTATAAGTGTGGTTTTGAACTCTATATCCAGTCGCTTTTTGTCCTCCATTTCTTTCGTTTGTGATCTATTTGGTTTAGGCATTTTCGCAGGCAGCTTTCCTGATGGGGCGGGGTTTCAGGGTGGAGCCTTCAGCCTTGGCTTCCATCAGCCCCGCCCTATGCGACTCCTGAGACTCAGGGTCCTTCAGTACTTGTTGCGAGCGCCTCTGAGAGAAAGGTGCCCTCGATTTTCGCCTGCTGCCAAACTGTCTATGCTCTCCCCCAATGAGTCCGGTATTGGGGTACAGTTCAGTTGGTAGTGGGATTGGAGGTGGCGTTCAGAGCAGTCTGGAGCCCCTGTCTCCTTCCCGTCAGGGCAATCCCGCGGCACAGCCGGCCGGCCCTTCTCTGCGCGCAGTGTGCGTGCCTCCGGGACTTCCTTTCGCTGCTTCCCCGGAGTCCCGCCTTACAGCCCGGCTCCCTATGGATGAGCCTGGGTCCCCAGGGTCTGGCCTAGAATTGGGGTTCAGAGCAGTTGGAGCTGGGCCCAGCACAGTCAGAGCTTTTCTCTCCTTCCCGCTTGGGACCGCCAGCCAGGCTCTCGGCCTCCCTCCTCTCCGGCTCTGTCCTCTCCGCGCGCGCCGCGTGTCTCTGTACCTTGGGCTTTTACAGCTCCTCTGCGCTTCCTTCTGGTTTTCTCCTTGCTTCTTGTTGTAGAATTTCCAGTCAGTCGACTTTCCTGTAGTTCTGGGTAATGTCCATTTTGTATTTTAGTTGTATTTTGTTGAAATTGTGTGCGGCTGTGGCTAGTTGCCTACCCGAGCAGCCATCTTGGATTCTCCTCTGTAGAGGATTTTTTTAAAAAATTTATTTTTAATTCATGTATTCTTTTTTTAAGAATTAAAGACTTTTTTTTATTATTATTACTGATTTTTTACAGAATGGAAGGGAGAGAGAGAGGGAGCTAGAAACGTCGATGAGAGAGAAACAACGACCAGCTGCCTCTTGCACACCCCCTACCGGGGATGTGCCGGAAACCAACATACATGCCCTGACCGGAATCAAACCAGGGACCTTTCAGTCCTCAGACCGACGCTCTACCACTGAGTCAAACCGGTTTCGGCTGTAGAGGATTTTTGAGTTAAATTATAACCCACTGTCTTGTAATGCTGAGTTAATTTTTTTCCCCCATGTATAAATATAATTGGTAGTTTACTTTTGTTACATATTAACTTTGACCATTTCTAAAAGCGGCAGACAAATTCTAGTTGTTGGTCAATTATGTCTTTATCTGTGAATAAGTTAATCATATTTTCTGAAAGGAAACAGGCAAAAATGAATGTTGTGATTCTTTTCTGAGGTGAGTTTAGGGATAATTATTTTTTTCTTTATACTTTTCTATCGTATATTTATGCAATTAATGTGAATTATGTTACAATTAGAAAAACATATAAACTCTCAGATGAAATACTATCTAATAAAAATAATAAGTAGATCAATTATTGTGACAGAAATATGTACATGAAGTAACACTATTGAAAAAGAACACTAAATAGTATCATGATTGCATAAGTGGTATTTTATGTGCCTTGAAAAATATAGGAAGTAAATTTGGAGCGATAGAGATAATATTTATTACCCTCCCCCCCTTTTTTCTTTTTGTAAAATGTCTGTTACCAACAGAGAAAGATTATTCTTCCCTTGAAAAGTATTTTCAACATGTCTTTTTTTTTTTTATAGCATTTCATAAGGCTTTGAGATACCAAGGTAACATTTATATTCTCTTCACTCATCAGGGGAAAAGAATTTCTTTTTACAAACGGGCCCAAATCCTTGTGGCAGATACGTGGAGTGTGTTGGAGGGAGAAGGGGACGGCTGCTTTAAGGACATCTCCAGTATTACCATGTTTGCTGACTATAGATTGCCTCAGGTGCTTGTTCACCTGGGAGCCCTGAAGTACTCGGAAGAACTCCTGGAGAAGCTTCTCAAAGGTCTGTCAGCTTAATTAAGACATTCTTTGTTATACTGTGAATTATAACAAAAGGTCTCCTTTCCTTAGAAAAAAAGAAATACTTATTGTTAAAAACATACATTACCCCCTGGCAATAGGCAAGGAGACACCTGATTGATGGTGTTGCTCTTATATCAATCAGGGGCAAAGCAGATGTACAGCCCTTAGTTCATCCTAGCTCGATGCCTGTGTCCGTGGCCATAGCTGTTTCATGCCTGAGGCACATTAAAAAAAAAAGAAAAAAGAAAAAAATGCAAGGGCAATTAAAATACGGAGAAAATTGCTTTTCTTGTTACATTATGGAATATGGATATTGTGGGAAATTGTGCTATTTAAGACGTTATCATTTTAGAGCATCATAATAGAGTGAAATCTAAATTTTTATTATATAAAGGTGTGCAACACTAAGACAGTTCATCAAGTGTAGTATTTGATGAGAAGTAAGCCGAAGAGCAAACTATGATGTGAAATAAAACATGGGCTGAGAGGTAATAGGTAGTGGATTTTTAGTTTGGAGGCTCCAAGGTCTGCCACTAGATTATCTTCACAAGTCACTCAGTTTCTTTCTTTTTTAATTTTTATTTGTATGAGCTTATTTGTTTATTTGAGCCAAACTGGTGACATGCTGGGAAGCAAGATTTCAAATGCTCCAGTCACTCACTTTTCTAGGCTTATTTACCATTATTGTATTTGATGATATTATTCTCAAGTGTGGAAGCCTTATTATAATATTAGAGTACAAATAATTGGGTTTGTGAGAAAATTAGCTTTTTGTTTCTTAAACATCTCTTTGTGTAAGGAAAATAATTATATTGTAAAATTTTAATGCTAATTTCTCTCTTGGGTGCTGTATTTTCAGCTACTTTTTTCTTTATTTTTAAAAGAAAGTCATTTTTTATGGTGCATGATTTTCTCTTGTGAAATAGATCTTAATCACTGAAAATAAGAATAATACAGAATATAAAGGACCATTATTCCTGTGGTTGCTTCTTCCAGGCTTTAATGCTGCCTTGGGCAATCCACTTTGTCTCTCTGTTTCCTTATTTGAAAAATAACAAGCCATTTTATGTCATAATGCTCATGTCCCGGCTCATTGTTGGATACCTTTAAAAGGGACAACTGTTAGCAATCAGGGCTTCCTTTGCATACAGACAAGGTCAGCTGACCTTTTTTTGGCCAGTGTATATGCTGCTCATTCCTATCTCTACACATTTTCTTGCCCGGTTTTTCTCACCCAAATTCAAATGTTCTTTTTTCAGTTAATATCCTACACATCCACAAAGGCTTAGCTCCAGTGTTACCTCTTCCACATAGCTTTTCCTGACTCTTCATGATTTGTCCATCTCCTTCTCTTGAATTTTTATAGCATCCAACTGTCTCTGCTACTGTGAGAAAAACAGTAGCAGAGACAGGGATCCCTGGCTAAAAGGGATTCCTGTCTAAAAGGGATCCCTGCCAAAACCTGTTTGGGTCAGTGGATAGAGGGTCGGCCTGTGGACTGGAAGGTCCCAGGTTCGATTCCAGTAGAACCAAGGGTATGTACCTTAGTTGCAGGCACATCCCCAGTGGGGGTGTGCAGGAGGCAGCTGGTGGATGTTTCTCTCTCATCGATGTTTCTAGCTCTTTATCCTTTTCCCTTCCTCTCTGTAAAAAAATCAACGAAATATATATATTTTTAAAATAAATAAAATAAGACACTTATCATCTCACGGTTTCTGTGGGTCAGGAGACTGGGTGCTGCCTAACTGAATGCCTGTGGATCAAGCTGACAGCTGTGGTAGTGGACTCATCAAAAGACTTGACTTGGGTGGTGGTATTTACCTCCAAAATCGCTGTTGTGGTTGATTTGAGAATTAGGCAAGTTGCAGTTAAGTTTGGGAGAATTGATTAACAAAATGAAGAGTAAGGGATGGATTTGTGTGCTGGCACCTGGAGAAAAATAAGGAAACGGAGGGGCACAGCCAGTGTCTGTTCTTCCACTGGTTCTTCCCCAGTGACCAGTGCCTAAGCCCTTGGGAGAGATGGGTAGATGGGATGTTAGTAACATTATTTAAGATCCCAGGTGACAGAGTGGAACCTAATGGGGCTGGGGCATTTTTCCTAAGTCTCACTGGATCATTGCGCTTATCGGGTACTGTGAAGATCTGTGTAAGAGGCCTACGATGTGTTTAGCCTGAAGAGTGCTTTTAAAAATTTTTTTATTAGTTATCAACACTTGACAGGAGATTTCATATGAAAATCAAACCTCTGGCTCTTATAGTATTTCTTTTAGTAAATATTTGTTGGGAATTAGTATGTGCAAGTTGCCATGCTAGGTCCTAGGAATATTGAATCAAACAAGCCAAACATCATCTCTGTCCTCATGGAACTTAACTTGGAATTTTGAATTAATGCCTGAGTTTAGAAATAGTTTGAATTACCAAAAGTAAAAATAGATAGGTTTACAGTTTTAAACTGTGTTTTTTGTTCTATAGTAGTGTTCTGAGTAGATTTCATATCATTGACTGTTGGTGCTTCTTGCTCTGTTTTCCCCTTGCAGGAGAAATGCTCTCGTATGGGAGTAGGCAAGAAGTAGAAATCAGAGGGTGCTCGCTTTGGTGTGTTGAGCTGATCCGGGATTGTCTTCTGGAGCTTATTGAAAAAAAGGGTGAAAAAATGAGTGAAGAGATCAATTCCATTCTTCTGGATTATTACTTATGGGACTATGCACGCGATCACAGGGACGATATGAAAGGAATTCCATTTCATCGAACACGTTGCATATATTATTGATCCAAAGTGTGAATTGACCCAGAGAAAACTGCTTGCATTTTTATATCACATAATTGTTTATACAATTTCACTTTGATATTAAGAGAAAGTGGTAGGGTTACAGCAACAACACTGATTACCCGGTCTCACTTAAAAATTTTCTCCTGACATATCACTCGGTATTCCCAAATTTATCTTTTTCTACTTATTTAGTTTGATACTACTTTTCCTTTTTGTGGATATATGACAGAAATAGTGAAGGAACTTTAATGTTTTAAATCTCAGATTTCTTAAAATTAATCATTTTTTAAAAATATATATGTTTCATTTTTTATAGAGAGTTAGAAACATCTATGAGAGAAAAACATCAATCAGCTGCTGCCTGCACACCCCCCACTGGGGATGTGCCCGCAACCAGGGTATATGCCCTTTACTGGAATTGAACCTGGGACCAATGCTCTATCCACTGAGCCAAACCAATCAGGACTTAATCATGTCTTATAATTAATCTTCAGTGACAGTATTTAATCTATTTAATTGGTATCTTTTCTCAAGGTATAATTTTCTGTATACCTTAATCATGAGATATGAGATGGGTGGGTAAGGTCTTTGCTATATAATTGCTATTGCAATTATATATAAAATTTTGACAGCTTATTTTAAAGTTTTTATTGGTAATGATGGTGGGTAGTTTTTAAAAATATATTTTTTTATTGATTCTGAGAGGAAGGGAGAGGAAGAGAGAAAAACATCAATGGTGATTTAGAATCATAGATTGGCTGCCTTCTGCAGGCCCCTTATTGGGGATCGAGCCGCAAACAGGCATGTGCTCTTGACTGGAATTACCTGGGACCCTTCAGTCTGCAGGTTGAGGCTCCATCCACTGAGCCATACCAGCTAGGGCAGCAGTGGGTTCTGTACATAGTGATTTCAATTTAGGATACAGTCTGTCCAGTTTTATTTTTCTTTCAGAGTATGTAACTACACTGAAATTGAATAAAGATTTTAAAAACTTTTCTTAAACCTGAAATGTATTCTTTCATTAAAATAGAATTGACCAGATACAATATAATTTTAAAAGGTTTACAATGAATTTGATTATTTACTTTATATTTTGGAATTCTCATTATCTACCACTCACTTATTTCCCACTTTCACCCTTACCTTCTTTCTAATCTTGATTTTTGTTATTATCTACCTTGCCAGTTCCCTGTGACTGTAACACAAAAAGGTATTCTTTCCCCAAGCTCTTTACTGCCATCTGCTGGAAACTTGTCATAACTACAAATATGGAAATCATGCTTGAGTTTCCACTTGCTGGTCTGACCTGCAGAGTTTAGACTGAAGACTGTAACATTACTCTTCTCTGAATTTCCAGTTTGCTGGCCTGCCCTTCAGATTTTGGATTTGCAAGCTCCCATAATCATGTGAGTTAATTCCTTAAAATAAGTTTCTCTGATTCTTTAAATGGATAGATAGATATTATAGGTCTATAAATAGACCTATGTCTGTCATTATCACTCCCCATATTCCATTGGTTCTGTTTCTCTGGAGAACACTAATACAAGTATGGATAAATAATATGGCAAAATAGCCAGTACCGGTTTGGCTCAATGAATAGAGCGTAGGTCTGCGGACTGAAGGGTCCCAGGTTCGATTCCGGTCAAGGGCATGTACATTGGTTGCGGGCACATCCCCAGTAGGGGGTGTGCAAGAGGCAGCTGGTCGATGTTTCTCTCTCATCGATGTTTCTAGCTCTCTATCCCTCTCTCTTCCTCTCTGTGAAAAATCAATAAAATATATTTTTTTTAAAAAATAAATAATATGGCAAAATAACTTTGGTCTATCTCAGGGATATTGACTATAAAATAAAAAACTAATAAATGGCCCTAGCTGGTTTGGCTCAGTGGATAGAGTGCTGGCCTACAGACTAAAGGGTCCCAGATTCGATTCTGGTTAAGGGCACATGCCTGGTTGCAGGCTCGGTTCCCCTCCACTTTCCCCCTTTCCCCCCCCAACGATTGGCATGCAGGAGGCAGCCAAGCAATGATTCTCATCGTTGATATTTCTATCCCTTCCTCTATGAAATGAATGAAAAAAAATGTATTACACACACACAAAAACCCCTAATAAATGTATGGTGCAACTAAATCACTTGCAAGATTCCTTTCAGATATAAAATTCATTGACTAAAGCAATTGGAAATTTGAAGAAACATATTGTAACGTTCATCTAAGTTTCTCTTATGCACTACATTTCTGTTTCTGTTTTGATTTCTTTGGGTTAAGGATATTTTAGTTTTTTCTGTTTGTTTGTTTTTGCACATAGTTCTCTTTATAGACTCTGGTTGTAGGAACAGGGTGCCTGTGGGAGGATATTTTAGTTTTAAGAAGCGGGGGGGGGGGGGGGGGGGGGGGGGGAGCTAGACTGAAATTAGCTTATTGAAAAGGGAAATGTAATGATTAAAAAAAAAAAAAAAGAAGCTAAATCTGCCTTAAAAGAAGCCTTAGCCATGCCCAGATACCATACTTTGTATTTCTTTTTGTTCTGTTTGAAGAAATAACTAATAGCTAATGAGTCCAGGCAACAGAATGCAAATTTTTGCCAATAGCTCAAGCAAGAATCAGGTTTTGCTAATGAGGGAGCATTTTTCCTAATGGGGCACCTGAGACTCAAGCGTCTCAGGTGCCCCATAAACCTCCCCACCTGCCACTCTGGCCTCTGCTGTGGCCACATACTTGGTTGGCCTATGAAGTGGAGCAGGGACAGTTCTTGAAGAAATAGAGGAGATTTTCTTACAGAAAAGAAGGGATGGCAGGCAGCCCAAACAGCCTTGTCTTCTATACCTTTGTGTATTCAGAATTCTTCAGCAAGTGGGGATCATTTCAAGGTAGAAACTGCTGAAGAAGAACTGAGAAAAGCATAAGGCTACATTCTGAGTTGGTTCAATGAAATAACTATTGTAATTCAATGTAAGGAAAGAACTAATCAATTTCCTGTGGGGGGAAAAACCTAGTAACTCTCCCTTCTTTTACTATTTTTCCTATTTTGACTGACTAAGGGTTAAACTAAGGGTTGGTTGCAGGAATGGAATTCAATTATTGTAGTAAGTATCAATAACTTTGAGGATGCCAAAACAATGCCAAAGAAACAATGGGTCAAGTGGTATTTAATAAGAAGTCTAGATATACTTGCTTTGAGGAATGAAAACAGTAGTATTTTGAAAGCAAAAATCTATTAGTTCAACTCCAAAAAAAGAAACTCTATTGGTTGATCAATTCATTATTCTCAAAATCAATAACTAAAAGAGGAAAAAATCAAGTATGTATCCTGCTATTTGTATACAAACTGTATTTCAGTTTTCTGTATTTTTGTTTTCTTTTTTAAAATGTTTATTTTCATAAATGTTTATTGAATCTATAAAATGAGCTTAATATTTACTATATATTTAATACTGATTGCTCAACAATGGGAACATAGAAATAAATAATAGTCCAGCTGGTGTGTCTCAGTGGTTGAATGTCAACCCATGCACCAAGAGCTCACTGGTTCTAGTCCAGATCAGGACACATGCCCAAATTTCAAGGTTGATCCCCAACAGGAGGCAGCCCATTGATATTGATGCATTGGCGTTTCTATCTCTTCCTTCCTCTCTCTAGTTCATCATGGGACTAGACTCTGGGGCTGGCACATCTTATAAGTTCCTGCAAACAACCCTCTGTCACAAATGGTTTGGTTGGCTTTCCTAGGAATTCTCAATTCTAAATTGTACTGTTATTCATTGAGGCTTTTGTCCTTTCAACTTGCTGTCATAACCTACAACTCGGAGTGGGGTGGGATGGGGCGGGGCGGGGCGGGGCGGGGCGGGGCCTGACGGGGAGGGGCGGGGCCCCGTGCGCAGCGTGACGCCCGGCCGGGAGGGGGCGCGTCGGCGTCGGGCTTCGCCGGTTGCCCGGAGAACCCGTGACAACAAAAGGCGCGGGCGGCGGCGGAGGAGGCGGCGGCGGCGGCGCGGAGGAGGGAAACCGAGGAGTTCTGCGCTGCGCTCGCCGCCGGAGACCGGCTTTCTCTGGCCGGTCAGTGCGCGGGAGGCCGGCCGGGCCGGCGAGGCCGGTGCGGAGCTTCCTCCCGCCCGCCGAGTCCCGGCCGGCCGTTGGGAGGACGGGCGCGCTCGGGGGCCGCCGCGGGCGGGCTTCATTGCGGAGGCCCGGGGAGGGGGGAGGGGGGAAGGGGAGAGGGGAGAGGGGGTGCTGTTGGGGAGTCTGGACGACGGCGCCCGCGGGGTGCTGGGACCCCGCCGGAGGAAGTGGGCGCCCCTGAGAAGGTCGGGGGAGTAGGGATGCGCGGGGCCGAGCGGCTCTGGAGTCGGATCCTTGGTTATTTCTCGTGTTTGTTCTTCCAACCGCGGAACCGGGAAGGTCCGCCCCCTCTGGGGGTTCCGTTTGGTCCGGGCGCCTTTTTTCCTTCGCGTTTGCTGAGACTTGGCGCTTCCTGAGGCGGGAGAAGTCCGACAGCCCCTCCCCCAGAGGGAGCGGAGAACCGGCAAAGGATGCCCAGGTTCTTTCTCTAAGACACCTTTCAGATAACACCGCCCCCTTCAAGTTTTTAACGTGTTTCCCCCTCTTTACTTCCCATCTTCTCCGTCTAGTACTTCATGTGTTTGAAGCCTTTTCTGAGGTCCCTAGGCGGTTCACTGTCCCTTTACTGGGAAGTTTCTTATGGAAATGTTAACAAGCCACAATTTTTAGATAACCACTATTTTTTGTCATTTAAAAATATATATTTTATTGATTTTTCATAGAGAGGAAGAGAGAGAGAGAGAGTTAGAAACATCCATGAGGGAGAATCATTGATCAGCTGCCTCCTGCACACCTCCTACTGGGGGATGCCCCCCCAACCAAGGTACATGCCCTTGACCGGAATTGAACTCGGGACCCTTCAGTCCTCAGGATGTCACTCTATCCACTGAGCCAAACCGGTTTCAGCTCTTTTTTTTTTCTTTTTTCCTTTTTTTTTTTTTTTTATTAAGGTATTATATGTGTACATATCTTACCATCGCCCCACACCTCATACATGCCCTCACTCCCTAGCGTTTTGCGTCCATTGGTTATGCTTATATGCATTCATACAAGTCCTTCGGTTGACTTCCTATCTCCCCCATGTCTCCCTAACCTTCCTGCTGTAATTTGACAGTTTGTTGCTTTACTGTCTCTGTATATATTTTTTGTTCATCGGTTTATAATGTTCTTTATTATCCATAAGTGAGTGAGGTCATGTGGTATTTCTTTTTCATTGACTGGCTTATTTCACTCGGCATAATGTTCTCCAGTTGCTGCAAATGGTAAGAATTCCTTCTTTTTTTATGGCAGCAAAGTATTCCATTGTATAGATGTGCCATAGTTTTCTGATCCAGGCATCTGCAGATGGGTACCTAGGCTGTCTCCAAATCCTAGCTATTCTCAATTGTGCTGCTATGAACATAGGGGTGCATATATCCTTTCTGATTGGTGTTTCTAGTTTCTTGGGATATATTCCTAGAAGTGGGATCACTGGGTCAAATGGGAGTTCCATTTTCAGTTTTTTGAGGAAACTCCATTCTGTTCTCCTCAGTGGCTGTACCAGTCTGCATTCCCACCAGCAGTGCACGAGTGGATAACCACTACTTCTGAAAAACCAAGGGCATGGGATGCCAACCGTATTTGGAAACACTTATTTCTGATTAATGACATGGCATCAGTGATCAAATATTTATCTTGTCTTTGCTCAGATTTCAAACTTCCATTGAGCATATCTATATATTACCAGCCAGTCAGATTTCACCTTCCTTTACATTTAACGATGACATAATACTCATATTTCTGATTATTGTAATTGATCAGAAGCTGAAGAAGTGTAGGTGCTGTGGATTTTTATATACATATTTTATTGATTTTTCACAGAGAGGAAGGGAGAGGGATAGAGAGTTAGAAACATCGATGAGAGAGAAATAACCATCAGCCACCTCCTGCACACCTTCCACTGGGGATCGAACCTGGGACCTTTCGGTCCGCAGGCCTACACTTTATCCACTGAGCCAAACCAGTTATGGCAGTGCCGTGGGTTTTTAAATAAATTTATATATATTAATTTTTTTGCAAGCCATATGTTTATGGGTCCTAGCCTTTGTAGATAAATTCCTATAAAAAACATACCAAAAAAAACCACAAAACCCCAAGAGGGGGAGCATTTAAGATTATGCTGCCTATCTCATTCAAATACACATTTATAAAAATTCTCTACAGGTTTGCACATTTCTTAGTCCTTTCTCCTACTACTCAGTGGGAATGAGAAAAAGTGAAATTCCAAAAGACAGTATGATTGATAATATATATTGTCATTGTAAAGAAATGAAAAAATGGAGAAGTATTTACATCTCTAACCACTTTGAAAAAATTAATACTGTTACTATCTAAAGTTAAGAAATCAGAAGAAATTGTGGAAATATGCCAAGTTTAAGTATTACACAGGTTTTGGAAGGCAGTGGAAGGTTTGAAAATCTCATGGTATCTCCTATGGGTCAAGTTTCTTTTTTTTTTTTTAACTTTTCATATATATATATATATTATATATATAAATTAATTTTTTCACAGAGAGGAAGGAAGAGGGATAGAAAGTTAGAAACATCGATGAGAGAGAAACATCGACCAGCTGCCTCCTGCACACCCCCTGTTGGGAATGTGCCCGCAACTAATGTAGATGCCCTTGACCGGAATCAAATCTGGGACCTTTCAGTCTGCAGACTGACACTCTATCCACTGAGCCAAACTGGTTTTGGCTGGGTCAAGTTTCTTAAAAAGAGAAATGCAGAGAAGGAAAGAACTAATAACAAAAGCAACAAAACAAAAACTGTTTGAAAGGAAGAATTCAGAACTTTCTGAAAAAGAAGTAGAACTTCCTCACCATTGATTTAAATCAACATTCCATGTGAAACACAAGTATGCTGTTACCAAAGATAAAACAATAAGACTACACTAGCTAGCAAAGATGCTGACATTTGAGCACACTGATTAGAGCTGGTAACCATGGACAGCGATGTTCCTGCTGATTCCACAGGGATTCAGGACTGCTTTTCTCTGCTCATCTGCCCTTTGAGTCTTTATGCACATTTATTTTTATGCACATTTACTTTGAGAAAGAAATACTTCTTGATTTTCACTTTGTCTAAACCCACTTCCTTTATTAGATTGAGAAACACATACCTTTTTGCATCAGCCTAAAACCAATTTATGATTGTATGTATGTGTCTTGCATCGCTTGAAAATATATCACTACTTAGTTAATTTGCTTTAATGGCTGTCTTATGAAATAAATATATTCATTAAAAATATATGATCATTGCAGGGGGAGAGGGTTGAACCCAAGAAAATGAAAATATCCCAATTATAGTACTTTTTATTAGCAACATTGTTGGAAGTAAGTTAGTCGTGGCTTAACACAGACCATGACTTGTTTTAATGTGGTAGCATAAAAAAACACAACTAATCTGTATGATGAGACTTCTAATGTAGGTGTTTAAAGACATTTGGAAGAACCAAGTCAACACAGCATCTCTGCAATTTCTTTGAAAACGTTTCTAGCAGCAGATGATTGTATAGTCCTTTAGGATCCTTGAATAAATACATATGAATATTTATTTGTTCATTCATTTAGTAGAATGAATAAAACTGACAAGGTTAGATGCATCTTTTTGGCCATTAAAGATAGTTTGCTAACTATTTTGGGATTTAATGTCCAAGGGAGCTGACACTTTTTTACTCTCTGTGGGCTCTTAGTGAAGTGATGTAAATGTTTTTTGTTATTGTGATCCTTTTCAGACTATCCCCTCACAAAGTTATAAATGCATAGTTATTGCTGCAGAGTTTTTAAAGGCTAGTGAACATTAAATATGTCTTAGTTAACATTTCTATAGCAAGCAGGTGTTACTTTTATTCATTAGTGTACTAGATTACTTAATGATATTAAGACTTGCCTTCTCTGGGAGCGGCCAGGCCCAGAGCTGCCGGGTCGGGTGCAGCCAGGCCTGGAGCAGCAGCTGCCAGGCTGGGAGCGGCCAGGTCTGGAGCGGCAGTGGCCAGACACGGAGCAGCTGGTTGTGGAACGGACCAGAGCAACAGAGGCCAGGCCCGGAGCAGCCAGGCCCGGAACAGCTCGCTCCTCGCCTGCCCCTCCCCCACGGCTGCCTCTCAGACATGGCTGGAAACTTTTGCGGGAACTTGAGGGTCTGCTGAATCAAGTGATGAAGGCTTAGATCTGGATGTGTTGAGTTAGTATAGTCCTGGGGTGTTGATCTGTGAGTGCCTTGTGCGGGGCCTGGATGAGGTTGGTTGACCTATTTGGAAATGTCTTATGTGTGAAGTGTATCTTTGGGCATGTGGAGGTATTATTGATATGAGAAAATGTTAAGTAACTGATTTACTATCTGAAAAGGGATTTACTATCGGGGAAAGGGAGGGAGGAAGAGACTGAACATAAACTGTGCACCTATGGATGAGGACAATGGGGGAGAGGAAGGGGGGCGGAGGGTGGGGTGGGAACCTGGTGGAGGGGGGAAGAAATGAGGAACCTTTGTAATAATATGAACAATAAAGATTGATTAAAAAAAAAAAAAAAAAAAAGACTTGCCTTCTCCCAAACTGATTATTTTTCATCACCTACACTAAACTTTATCATAGATTGCTTGTTACATTTTTAAACTTTTTATCCTACAAAGAACTACAAGTTTTGTGTTTTTAAAAAAATACATTTTTATTGATTTCAGAGAGGCAGGGAGAGGAAGAGAGAGTTAGAAACATCCAGGATTGAGGATTGGGCCTGCAACTGGCTCATGTTTCCTTGACCAGAATCTAACCTGAGACCTTTCAGTCCACAAGCCAATACTCTATCCACTGAGCCAAACCAGCTAGGGCTGATAGTGTCTTTTTTTTTTTTTTTTTTAATTAATATATTTTATTGAGTTTTTACAGAGAGGAAGAGAGAAGGATAGAAAGCTAGAAACATCTCGATCAGCTGCCTCCTACACCCCCCTCCTTCCAATGGGGATGTGCCTGCAACTAAGGTACATGCCCTTGACCAGAATCGAACCCGGGACCTTTCAGTCCACAGGCCGACACACTATCCACTGAGCCAAACCAGTTTCGGCTGATAGTGTCTTTTGAGGCTAAAAACTTTTGCATTTGATTAAGTGCATTTTACCTATTTTTTCATTTTATTGCTTATTTCTCTTTTGGTGTTATATCTGAACAACCATTGCCAAATCTAAGGTTAGCCAAGAGTTACCCCCATGTTTTCTTTTACGAATTTTATAGTTTTGATCTTACATTTAGGTCCATGAATCATTTTGAATTAACTTTGGTGTATGTGAGATAGGAGTTCATCTGGAGGGTGGATATCCAGTTGTACATGACCATTTGTTGAAAGACTTTTCCACAATTGAATTGTCTTGGCCTGTTGAAAATTAATTGCCTATAAATGTGATGATTTATTTCTGGATTCTCAGTTCTTTTCCATTGATCTTTAAGTCTGGCTATGTCCATACCACACTGTCTTGATTACTATTGCTTGATTTTAAAATTGGGGATGTGTGTCCTCCAATTTTGTTCTTTTTCACTACAGTTTTTGGTATTTTGTGTCCCTCGAATTTCCATATGAATTTTTGGATGAACTTGTCAACTTCTACAGAGAAGTCAGCTGGGATTCTGATAGGACTTGTGTTGAATCTTTAGATCGGTTTGGGAAATATTGCATTGTCATCTTAACAATGTCTTGCAGTCCATGAACACGAGATGGTTTGCCATTTATTTAGATCTTCTTTCTTCAAACAGTATTTTGTATTTTTCAAAGTATCAGTTTTACAAACTTTTTAAAAATTTTATTCCTAAGTATTTTATTCCTTTAATGCTATTGTAAATGGAATTGTTTTCTTTTTGTTGTTGCTAATCTTCATCCAAGGATATTTTTTCCCCCCATTGATTTTTAGACAGAATAGAAGGGAGGAGGAGGAGCAGGAGGAACAGGAGGAGAAGAAAGAGGAGGAAGAGGAGGAGGAGGAGGAAGAGAGAGAGAGAGAGAGACATCGATGTGAGAGACATGGATTAGTTGCCTCCTATGCATTCCCCAACGAGGACTAGGGATCAAACCTACAACCTAGATACATGCCCTTTCCCGGCATCGAACCCTGAATCCTTCAGTTCTTGGGCAGATGTTCCAACCACTGAGCCAAATGGGCTAGGGTTGGAATTGTTTTCTTAATTTATTTTTTAGGGTTGTTCATTGTAAGTGTAGCTACCAATTTAATTTTTTTAAAAGATGTTTTTATTAATTTCGGAGAAAGGGAGGGAGAGGGAGAGAGATAGAAACATTTGTGATGAGAAAGAATCATCAGTTAGCTGCCTCCTGCACACCCCCTACTGGGGATTGAGCCCAAAACCTAGGCATGTGCCCTGACTGGGAATCAAACCATAACCTCTTGGTTCATAGGCCAATGCTCAACCATTGAGCCACAGCAGCCTGACCCAGTGTAATTTTTAATGTATTAATTCCACTAGAGATCTTCAGAAATTAGTATAACAATTTAGGAGTAGAAAAGCAGTTTTTCAGTTTTGATTATTTTTTAATAAAAAATAGATTTATATTGACTTATGGAAATCCTTAAAATTATTTTATGGACTTATTTATAATATTTGTGGCAATGAGGAGATGTTATTTTTAAATATATAGCTATAAAACCAGTGCAAGGATTTGCTTTTAACACACTTGTACAGTTACCCAGTTATTTCCTTAATTTAAATTTTTAACTCCCCAATTATTCAATATTTAGATTAATGAGCTGGGAAATATCATTACAGAAAGAAGGGCACAATGGAATCCCATGTGTTTATCATTTAGTTTTCATCATTTACCAACTCATGGCCTCTACCCCCTAGATTATTTATAGCAAGTCCAGACATATCATTTCATCTATAAATTATAGATGTTGTTTAAAAGACAGATTTGTAACTAGCTTATGTTGGAACATGCTCTAGTTGACTTTGCTTTAGACGATAATTTATTAGGATAGAATTAGTAATTAAATTTTGTTTTATTTTGATACACAGGAGTCCAGATCTTATGTAAAATGGATGGCTCTCACACTAGACACTGAATGTTAAGTAGAAAATCTGTTTAGCAAAATCTAAGCTGCCATGGAGGAAATACCAGTAAAAGTTGCTGTAAGAATTAGACCTCTGCTATGCAAAGAAGTTCTTCATAATCATCAAGTTTGTGTGAGAGTTATTCCAAACACCCAGCAAATTATCATTGGGAGAGATAGAGTCTTTACTTTTGACTTTGTTTTTGGCAAAAGTTCCACTCAAGATGAAGTTTATAATACGTGCATAAAGCCACTAGTGTTATCACTCATTGAAGGCTATAATGTAACTGTTTTTGCCTATGGACAAACTGGATCTGGGAAGACATACACCATCGGAGGAGGCCATGTTGGTAAGATTCCCATAGTCTTTGACGTTTGAAACACTTGAAAGAAGCTAAAACATGAGATTACCTAACACTAGTAGATGCTCTGCATATTAATTGAATGAAATAATGAATAGGATAATCAGATGTGCTCATATGTCATCTTTAAAACATTATTTTTTAATTTGAATTTTCATTAAACAATTTATGCTTATATTTGTTTGAGGAAAGAAGTTTAAGACAACGTGTAGTGTTTAGACCTTTGACATTTTTTTCCAATTTTATTGAGATAAATTGACATATTAGTCCAAGGTATACAACATAATGATTTGATATAAATTTATATTGCAAAGTGATTACCACAGTTGAGTTTATATCACTGCACACAGTTTCAATTTTTTTTCTTATGATGAGAAATCTTAGCAATTTTTAAATATACAATAAAGTATTGTTAACTGTAGTCACTTCAGGACTTACTTATTTTATAACCATTACCCTTACCCCCAAACCATATGCCTCTGGCAACCCTTTGTCATTTTGAACAAAATTTAAATTAGAGAGACATGAGTTAACATGATGGGATTATGCTTTTTTTTTCTTTCTAGATTTTGCATCTTTTAATACTCCACTTATAAATATTAAGAGTCCTGTAACCAGTACTTATAGGAAAGTAATTTAAAGAGTCTTTCCTCCCCCATTTTTTAGCCAGTTGTAAAGTTTGTTACTTTATGGGGTTTAGTTGACAAATTGTAAGATATTTTAAGTATACATTGTGATGATTTGATCTGTGAGCTGGAAAGAACCTTGAAAATAATTTCATTTATGAGTGAGGAGCTCTAGCCACAGAATGCTGAAGGGCTTACTGAGTTAGGTGGCAAGTGACAGAGCTGGAATTGAAAGCCAAGTCTTCTGTTGAGATTGTTGATTGTATTGGTATTTTTATACAAAAAGCAAGCATTTGAATGTTATGCATATAGATCATAGTTGAAAGTGATCATTAGTATTATCTATATGTATAATGGCTTTTAATATTTTTTCTACTTTCATACTCAAATGTAGAATATGTAACTTTCAGAAAAATCTCTTGTTAACTGTAGGGATGGGTAGGGGGAGATTTGGAGGTGGCTGTGTGGTTTGAGGGAGCCCTCATTCCAAAGATTAAATGGAGGGGCCTTAAGTGCCTAATGCCTCTACCTTCTCCAATTTTTTAGAATTAGTGTTATACAGGAATAGGAGATTTAAGATATTAGATTATTTTAGGGTCTCACAATAAAATAAATTTCAGATTTTCTACTATTTTGGTTTTTCTTAAAGATTATAGTTTTTTGTTGTTTTTGTTTTTTATTGGCTAATGTTTTATCACCTTAAAGACTCAGTATGTGCTTTATGCTAATAGAAGTATAAAATGTTTAGATCTTGATGACAAATATAACTACATTGGTTTTTTTAAAAAAATATATTTTTATTGATTTCAGAGAGGAAGGGAGAGGGAGAGAGAGAGATAAGCACATCAATGATAAGAGAGAATCATTGATTGGCTACCTCCTACAAACCCCACAATGGGAATCAAGCCCACAACCTGAGCCTATGCCCATAACCAGAATCGAACCTGGGACTCTTCAGTCCACAGGCCGACACTCTATTCACTGAGCCAAAGTAACTAGGACTAACACGGGCCAAATAAACAAGGTTTAAGTTTATGTAGGTTGCAAAAGCTAAAAGCTTTAATTTTCATAGAATTATATGTTTATTTTGATGGAAACATGCTGAATACAAAGAGCTAAAATAAATGAGTAATCACTAACATAAAATAATAGAACATTTTAATAAAAAATTTTACCAGACACTGAAGAGCTGCATAAATTAATAAGCATAATGCAAGCAAATCTATTTTTCTTGTTCTCCAAAAGCGAAATATTTCCTGTTGTACACATCAAACAAGTCAGTAGAACACTAATGACGTGGAAACTGGCTGCTAAAATATTTGCTGCTACTATTAGTGGAGAGAAATGGGGTGCCTGTGCATAAGGCGTGTAAGGGAAATGAATGCAACACGATCATAATAATCATTCATTAGTGAATGTTATAGTTCATTATTAATATGTAATAGGATATTGTAAAAATTGAGATATGAAACTTTTATTAAAACATTTCTTTCATACCCAAAACTGGTTTGGCTCAGTGGATAGTGTCGGTCTGCGGACTGAAAGGTCCCAGGTTCGATTCTGGTCAAGGGCATGTACATTGGTTGCGGGCACATCTCCGGTAGGGGTTGTGCAGGAGGCAGCTAGTCGATGATTCTCTCTCTCTGATCGATGTTTTAGCTATTTATCCCTCTCCCTTCCTCTCTGTGAAAATCAATAAAATGTATTTTTTTAAAAAACAAAAACATTTCGTACATATTATATTGGCTGGGTCACAAAAATTTTCATTGTGGGCTGCATGCGGCCTATAGGCCGCAAGTTTGACATGCTTGAGCTAGGGGCTATATTGTTTTTTAAAAATATATATTTTTATTGATTTCAGAGAGGAAAGGAAAGGAAGAGAGAGATGGAAACATCAATAACGAGAGAGAATCATTGATTAGCTGCCTCCTGCACAGCTCCCCACCTGGGATCAAGCCCACAACTCATGCAAGTATCCTCACTGGGAATCAACCACTAAGCCACACTGGCTGGGCATACCTATATATTTTTTAATTTAAGAGGCCACGAGTGTAGTATTAATTATTTAAGGAAGAAAGTTGTCCTAAAATACTTTTAACTATTCTGAGTTGCTCTTTATCAGAAGAAACAGACCACCATTAGAAATAAATTTTGTTCCTAACTGGTTTGGCTCAGTGGATAGAGCATCAACCTGTGAACCAGTGAGCATTTTCATTTTCCCAGATTGACATTCCCAATTCTGGGAATATTATTTCATCTCATGAAATTCTCAATTCTAGGTTAGTTGTCTACTATTTAATTATTGACCGTGAAAATAATGTTAGTTTTTTTACCCAATAAATAATTTATTGAGCATTTGCAGTATCTAGGGTACCATGCTAGGTACTATGATAGAATGAAATTTCTTATTTTTTTAATATGATTTTTATTTAAACTAATCATTTTCCAATTTTTCAGAAACTTGGATGTACCAACTTAGTAGGCCTAATCTCTAAAATCTTTTATTTCTCTACTATTTAAGTAGCATATAATATAATATATAGCTAAATGATGGCTATTGAGGTAAAAATTTTTATAAATTCTTTCTCTGAAATAGTTTATTTCAGGAATATAAGCCTAACATTGAAGTGTGGTTTATAGGTTACCAAAATACGTATTGAAGCTTTATTATAATTACTTGAAATTGAGCTTTTTTTTAAAAAAATTTTTTATTACTTTGTTACAGGGAGGAAGAGAGAGGGATAGATAGTTAGAAACATCGATCAGCTGCCTCCTGCACACCCCCTACTGGGGATGTGCCGGCAACCAAGGTACATGCCCTTGACTGGAATCAAACCTGGGACCTTTCAGTCCGCAGGCCGACGCTCTATCCACTGAGCCAAACCAGTTTTGGCATAATTGAGCTTTTTGATAAGTCTTTTGAATTTTTGTGGGATTTTTTTATCTTTTGAAGTGGGGAATGATCATCTCTACATACTGGCTAATACAGAATGCTTATACTTTGGTTTATAGGTATTGCTATTATCTTGTTCCTGGAAGCTGTCAAAAAGGAATCACTTTCTCCCTTGTATTGAAAAACCTACAGCTTCCTGTACATACCACATGATGGCAGTATTATTGAATACATCTTAAGTTAGGTGAAAGGCAGTCTAATTTAATAGAAGTTTACTTTTTTCAGGATGATTATTGCCAAAAATTTAAACATTGGTAATCTTTAACTTGAGAACAAGTTAGTTTTAAGGTTCATTTGTAAACTAGTGTTTTGTAGCTTGTAATATATTTTCCGCTAAACATGATAGGTTTGTTTCTAAATTGGCCTATATAAACTTATTTAACTTTAAGTCCCAATTTATGTCATTTATTTTAAATTTTATATTGTACTTTTTTTTTTTTACTATTTTAAAAATTATGGTAAGTATACACACACACACACACACACACACACACACACACACACACACACACGATTCATGCAAGAATGGGCCTTCCTTCCCCTGGCTGATAGCACCACCTTCATTCTGGCCAGAGCTACCTTTCTGCCTTCCCATGCTGCCCCAGAGTGGTTGGGGCAGTGCGGGTTACCTGCGTTGTTGGTGACGACGATGATGCAGGCATCCTGCCCCGGCCACTCTGTGCCTGCACACGCAAATTTACCCATAATCTTTGTTGGGTCAGTTTGCATACTCATTCCTGATTGGCTGGTGGGCGTCATGAAGGTATGGTCAATTTGCATCTTTCTCTTTTATTAGTGTAGATAACATAACATTTTCTATTTTAACCATTTTAAAATTATAGTGATCTAACGATAATCTTAGTGTTTTGTAACCATCACTGCTTCCCCCCCCCCCCAGCATCCCAAATAGAAACTCCATACCCATTAAGAAATAACTCCCCTTCCATACCCCTTGGTGACCTCTAATTTACTTTCTCTATGAATTTTCATCTTTTAGATATTGCTTAGAGATGGAATCATATAGTATTTGTCCTCCTCTGTCTGGATTCTTTCACTTCTTTCCAAAGGCATCCTCCTTGTAGCATGTATCAGAACTTTATTCCTTTTTATGACTGAATAAAATTCCATTTTATCTATAAGTCATATTTTGCTTATTCATTCCTGTGTTGGTTGGCACTTGAGTTTTCCCCTTTTTGGCTATTGTGAATAAAGCTACCATGGACATTGGTGTACAAGTATCTGTGTCTCTAGTATGTATTGTTGTTCATTCATAATGTGCAGATCTGTGTTCTGGGTTGTAGAAGAGGTGAAGGACAAGAGGAATATGACTTTTTTTTTTTTTTTTTTTTTGCCTGATCTCATCCAGTCTCATGATATTGAATATCACTTATATGTAGCTGACTTTTGATTTTTTTAAAAAATCTCCAATCCAGACTACTGTCTTGAACTCTAGACTTAATATCCAACTACTGCCTGTTTAGTCTTTGCAATTGGCCACTAAATATGTCATTTGGATGCTAACAGACACCTCAAGCTTAATTGGTAAAAAAAAAAAAAAAAAAAAAAAATGAACTTCTGCTATTTTCCTCTCAAACCAATTTAGTCCCCACTCTTACCCATATTAGTTGATGGCAACTCCAGTGGCTCAAGACAAAACCTTAGAGTCATTCTGTTGTTGTTAATCCTCTCCGAAGGATATTTTTCCATTGATTTTTAGGGGGAGTGGGAGAAAGAGGGAAAGAGAAACATCGATGTGAGAGAAACATATTGATCGGTTGCCTCCTGCATGTGCCCTGACCAGGGCCCAGGCCAGGGAGGAGCCTGCAACTGAGGCACATGCCCTTGACTGGAATCGAACTTGGGACCAAACTGACCAGGGCTAGAGTCATTCTTGACTCATTGCTTTCTTTCACATCCCACATCCAATCTATCAGGGAATCTTAATGATGTTCCTTTGAACATAAATCCCAAATTGGGTCACTTCTCATTCTTTCTCTACTACCACCCTGCTGTGAGCCACATTATATTTACCTGCCTAATCCTCTTGATTCCCAAATTACTTCACAGTATTCTAAGTGGTTTCCCCACATCCACTCCTGCCCTTTTATGGTATTTGCAAAACACCGCCTTAAATTGTTCTTAAATCGCAACTTACTACTATCCTCTCATACGGAATAAAACCCAAGGTCTGCTTTGGTCAACACAGACTTACATGTTCTGGCTCTGTCATCTCTCTGACCTCATCCCCTGTCACTCTCCCCTTGCTCTCTCTGCTTTAGCCACACTGGCCTTCTTGCTAATGGATCACATCAGTTAATTGTCTTTGTACTGGTTGTTCTCTCCCTTGGTTATTCTTCTGTCAGATACGCACATGGTTCCTCTGCCACCTCTTTCAAGTCTTTGCTTAAATGTCAGCTTCTCAATGATTCCCATTGTGACTTTCCTACCTAATGTTGCAAACACCTCCAACTTAGATGCACCTACTCATCCATTCCCCCTTACCCTGCTCAGTTTTTTTTATCTGGATATACCTATCAGTTTTAACACACTATTTAATTCACTTATCAGTTACCTTTTTTTGCTATTGTCTATCTTCAGTACAGTCCCACAAGGGCAGGGATTTTTTTTCTTTTGTTTTGTCCACTAATGGTTCCCAGGGTCCTAGAATACTGCCTGGCAAAAAGAAGATAATAAATATTTGTGGAATGACTGTATGAATAAATTTTGAGTAAGGGCATGCATGTGAAAACTTTTAACTATGAATTTTATAATTATGGTTTAAAAGATTTATAATATAGAGAATTGTAAGAAAATAAATGTATTGATTTTCGATTTCATGTTGTAGCTTTTCTTATATTTTAAGTTTCATTGTGCTTTTCTCTTTTTTTTTTTCCTCCTAAAATTTCAGCTTCAGTTGTAGATGGTCAAAAGGGTATCATTCCTCGAGCTATCCAAGAAATATTTCAAAACATCTCAGAAAATCCTAGCACTGACTTTAAAATAAAAGTTTCTTATATAGAAGTATATAAGGAAGAACTAAGAGATCTTCTAGAATTGGAGACATCTGTGAAGGATCTTCACATCCGAGAAGATGAAAAAGGAAACACAGGTAAAGTAGCCTACTTACTAGATAGCCTTCTTTAAAAATATATATGATTTAATTCAGTTTCTGGATACATTCCAAAGAAGCTTTAGAAAGACATATAAGCAAAATGAATTTGTTTTTACTTTAAAAATTGAGTATCTTATTAACAATATCAGTTAAATTGCCCAGGTGAAAAGTAGTTCAGCTGGTAGGCAAGATGCATTTTCACATGGCTTTAAGTAGTTTTCAGCCTTGTGATTCTTAGTGATCATGTGGTAATTTGTCTTCTGAATGTATTATAATAATTTAACTATTGTTTTGTTGTTAGATATTTAGGCTGTTTCAAAATTTTCACTATCCTATCTAATAAAAGTAATATGCAAATTAACCATCACTCCAACACACAGGATAGCCGTCCCCATGTGGACACAAGATGGTCACCAGCAGAGGGCAGTTGGGAGGGACCAGGCCTGCAAGGGAGGGCAGTTGGGGGCAATCAGGCCTGTAGGGGAGGACAGTTAGGGGCGACCAGGCCAGCAGGGGAGGGCAGTTAGGGGTGACCAGGCCAGCAGGGGAGGGCAGTTGGAAGCAACCAGGCCTGTAGGGGAGAGCAGTTGGGGGTGACCATTCCGGCAGGGGAGGGCCGTTGGGGGTGATCAAGCCTGCAGGGGAGGGCAGTTAGGTGTCGATTAGGCTGGCAGGGGAGTGGTTAGTAGGTAATCAGGCTGACAGGCAGAAGCAGTTAGAGGTAATCAGGCAGGCAGGCACGCGAGTGGTTGGGAGCCAGGAGTCCTAGATTGTGAGAGCAATGTCCTACTTCCCGTTTAGGCCCAGTCCCACCAGGATCAGGCCTAAGCAGGCAGTTGGACATCCCTTGAGGGAGTCCCAGATTGGAGAGGGTGCAGGCTGGGCTGAGGGACCGCCTCCCCACCCCCATGCACAAATTTCATGTACCAGGCCTCTAGTCTACACTAATAAAAGAGAAAAATGCTAATTGACCATACCTTCGCTACACCCAGAGGCAATCAGAGAGAGTAGGCAAATTAACCCAACTGGCTGTTAATTTGCATACGCTGAGGGAGGGAGGAGTGAAGGCTGAAGACAGCATATAAGGAGGAGGGAGGAAAAGTGTAAGCCAAGGCGGCTGCCTGAGGGAAAGTGCGGGCAGGGCAGGTGGGGTGGGTTGGGGTGGGGTGGGGCAGGGTGGCAGCAGCGCACACAGCTGTGGCAGCCACTTGCAGGAATCTTCCTGCAATGGGCTCCTAGTTATTAATAACAAGTGGCACTTCTTGCATTTCTTCCTCTCCTAAAACCTTCCAGGAGATAAAGGGTCCTGGTGATGGAGTCACTCCTTGGGGGAATTTCTTATCAGCTAGAAAAGTAAGATGGCTATAATCATTTAAATAGCAGCCTGCAGGGGGCAGTAAAGCTTGTCTTCTTAGAGACTCTGTTCTGGCATTCCTGGACATTTGAAGAAATGGTTTTGTTTTTTTGTTTGTTTTTAAAAAGCATACGTAGTAGTTTATGAAATAACTAGAGGCCCAGTGCGTGAATAGTGTATGGGAGGGGTCTGGCTGCCCACCCCTGCTTGGGGGGTGGGGGGGCAACCGGGGGTGGTGCCAGCAGGGGGAGGGAGGGAAGGAGTTATTAGTGTCTTTGCAGGGTATATACATTTGCTGTTGGCTTTCAGATAAGTTCAAAGGCTCTTTAGTGTCAGGGACTTACAGCTTCCGTTTCTAAGCCTGTCTTTAGACAGGCAATGTGGTTTAGTTCCCTGCTGATAAACCCTCTAAAGAGATGCTATGATGTGATGTGACTGCCCTCTTTGGTATTAAGCAGTGGAGAGAGAACACAGGGAGATGGTGGTTGTGCTGGGCATCTCTCCTGGACACCTGGCTGATGGTCCAGACCATGAACAGTTTTCCTCCTGATCACTTGTCATTCAGATTCCTGGCCTATGAAGACTGGAGAGTGTTTACTTACTTAGAATCACTTCAGTGATGGGGTGGGGATGGGGAGGGCGATTAGGGGTGGAGTTGGCAGGAGTGGGACTATAGTTCGTTGGCTGGCTGGCCCCGCCCCCTATCTGGCTGGTTGGCCACCACAGTGTCATAGCCACCAATCATTCTGGTCGTTCCACTGCCATTGGGTCCCTTGGCTTTTATAGATTAGATAATTCAGTATAGTTATTTTTTTCTGGACAGAATTCAGATTGGTGTTTTGAGCTTTTGTATCATGAAATATATTTATTGAATATTTTTATCTTTTATTTAAAATTACAAAAACAAGACATTTTAAAATCATCTTACAATATGGAAGGGTACATTGTCACTCCTGTTAAACTTAATGATCAAAATATTCCATGACTAATATCAATCATGCAAAAATTTTGGAAGGATGTAACAAATAGTGTTAAGACAAAATGCCAAATATTTTACATAATGTCTTACAACATGCATTTATTTGACATATTTATTGAGTCTTTTGTGTGAAGCAGTGGTTGGTATCCAACCTGGAAGTTGCACACTTAACATCACCTTTGAAGCTTTTAAAAAAATATTGGTGCCAAGCCGGTGTGGCTCAGTGGTTGAGTGTCAACCTATGAACCAGGAAGTCACCAAAATTTCTTCCTGGTCATGGCACATGCCTGGTTGCGGGCTTGATCCCCAGTGTGGAGTATGCAAGAAGCAGCTGGTCAATAATTCTCATCATTGATGTTTCTATCTCTCTCTCTCCTTTCCTCTCTGAAGGCAATAAAAAAATATTTTTTTAAAGTACTGGTTTCTGGGCTTTACTTTTCAGAAATTCTAATGAATTAGTCTGGGATGGGACCTGGGCACAGGTACTTTCTTTTTTATAAAGCTCTCTCCCAGGTGATTTGCAGCTGGGCTTGAGAACCTTAGCTACTACTTAGCTATTCCCCAACATTAAAAAAGTTATATAAAACTTATGCTATGGTTTATAGTTATCATATTTTATAATTGCTGATATTTTAGCACTGTCTGCAGTAGAGGTACTTTAGAACTTTAAATGAACCAGTTTGTTAAAGAAGGTGGCATAATGGAAATAAAATAAGCATAATGATTATTTTTCAAAGAAAATAGTAGCATGATGGGATCTGATTAAAAAGGAAGTATACCATCGTAATTTGAGCTCAGAATTAGGAGCTTTGCTGCTTTGATTCAAATCTCAAATTTACTTACTCTTTTTTGAAAATTTTGTATATAAACATAATGTTGGTGATAGTAAGCTTAGGTTACTTGTTGGTTCTTATTCTGCTATTGAAATAGAAATTTTCTACTTGTTTTGAATTGCCATTTCATTTGTTTACCTTGCACTCTGATATTATGTAGGGCATATACCTGCTTTTAAAATGAATAACTACTTATACTAAAATTTTTATCTGTCATTAGATGTGATTTCACAATATAGAAAAAAAAACCTTAACATAGACTGATGAACAAGAACAGACCCAGAGATAAGGAGCCATGGGTCAGACTGTTGGACCTCAAAGGGAGGGTGGGAATAAAAGGGAGAGATCAACCAAAGGACTTATGCGCACACATATGAGCCTAACCAGTGGTCAAGGATAATAGGGGGGTGGGATCATGAAGGGGGAATGGGGGATTGGAATGGGGGGTGGAGGACAAATATGTGATACCTTAATCAATAAAGAAATTAATTTTTAAAAAACCACCTTAAACCTAAGGAGAGCTTGAATGGTAAAAGAAATTCAAGAGAAACTATTTTTTTAAAATGAATCTATTACTAATTACTTGTTTTTTAATCCTCACTCAAGGATATATTTATTCATTTTAGAGAGAGAGGAAGGGAGAGAAAGAAATATTGATGTGAGAGAGAAACATCAATCCATTGTCTCCCTTCTCACCCTAACCAGGGACTGAATCTGAAACCTAGGTATGTGTCCTGACTGGCAATTGAATGTGCACCCTTTTGGTGTATGGGACTACATACACACCAACCAACTGAGTCACCTGGCCAGGGCTGATTAATTCTTTTGAATTATATATTTAATTAATTTATTATTTTTAAAATAATCCACTAGGTTCTCCAAATGAAATACTAAAATCAAGAGTTTTTCTCTTGTTAGTTGTTTTAAATAACTGAGCATAATGTGTGACTGCAGAGAAACCAGATCGTTAAAAATTATGTAAATATCTTTTAGAATTTAAACATCAAAATGAGCACTCTTCGTAAAATGTTTCTTTGGGACATTCTCTAAAATTAGTGTTGCTGCTATTAATACTGTTTGAAATACTATTGATTTTTTAAAAAAATCCTCATCTGAGGATATTTTTCCTTTGATTTTTAGAGATAGAGGAAGAGAGATGGAGAGACAGAGGGAAATACCAATGTGAGAGAGACATATTGATTGGTTACCACCCACATGCCCCTGGGAGCCTGAAACCAAGGCATGTGCCCTTGACTGAGATCAAAACCAGGACCCTTCAGCCCGCAGGCCGATGCTTTATCCACTGAGCCAAACCAGCTAGGGCACTATTGATTTTTTTGAAGGGAATGTCTTAGTTGGGCAGTCTAGCAAATAAAAGTTATGTGGTTGATTTGACTGTACTGGATTTTGATTAAAACTTGATTTAAAAACTTGCTGTTTTAAGTGATTGTCGGGGCCAAGGAATGCCTGGTGGAGAGTGCAGATGAAGTGATGAGCCTCCTGGAGATGGGGAATGCAGCCAGGCGTACAGGTACCACCCAAATGAATGAATACTCCAGTCGATCACATGCAATTTTTACAATCAGCATTTGTCAAGTTGAAAAAAATACAGAGGCAGCTAAAGATGGACCATGGTCTTCCCGTCGGCAAATTGTCTCAAAGTTCCACTTTGTGGATTTGGCTGGATCAGAAAGAGCAACGAAAACAGGGAATACTGGCGAACGGTTCAAAGAATCCATTCAGATCAACAGTGGGTTGCTGGCTTTAGGAAATGTAATAAGTGCCCTTGGGGACCCACGCAGAAAGAGTTCACATATTCCATATAGGGATGCTAAAATTACCCGGCTTCTGAAAGATTCCCTGGGAGGCACTGCCAAGACTGTCATGATCACTTGTGTCAGCCCATCTTCCTCGAATTTTGATGAATCCTTAAATTCTCTCAAATATGCCAATAGAGCACGCAACATCAGGAACAAACCCACCTTAAACTTCAGCCCCGAGTCAGACCGGATGGATGAAATGGAATTTGAGATTAAGTTGCTTCGAGAAGCTTTGCGAAGTCAGCAGGCTGGTAATATTAGCCAAACCAGCCAGATCCATCGAGAGGGGACTCCTGATAACAGGATCATTTTTCTTGAGGAACAAGTAGCTCAGCTCCAAGGAGAATGTCTGGGTTACCAACATTGTGTAGAGGAAGCCTTCAGCCTCCTGGTGGAGTTAAAAGATACTGTCAGTCTAAACCAAAATCAGCAACAGAAGCTGCAGGAGTGGTTTAACATGACCCAGGAGGTCAGGAAGGCAATTCCCAGCTCATTCAGAGGAAGCCAAGGCATTAGAAACCTGGAAGAAGGAACACAGCATATTAGAGTTAACCAATTGAAGCGAGAGCTGAAGAAATGCCAGGTACATAGACACTGCTTTTATAAAATAACGTATTTAAGGACTAAATTTATTTGGGCAAGTAAAAGTTGCTGTAGAATGTCAGAAAATTTTTAAAAGGATTATATGTAGAAATCTCATTTGCCTTTGCTCTGTTTCTTCCTTTTCCTATTCTCATATTCATACCTTTCCTGGCTCCTCCTTTTTTTCTCTTGTAAAACCTATTTTAAGTTGTTATATTTATTAAGTACAATCTTGTGGACCTGGTCATTAAATTTAGAGAATGAAAAGAAATTGTTTCAGAAACAAAATTTAGTTATACTTTAATTGAGTTATATCCCTCTATGGGTCAGTGGTTCTTGAAAGAAAAAATATTTCATTCCTTAAATTTAGAATACTGATTTTTTATAAAAGAAGCAAAATCATCATGTTTGGTAATATTTAAGAAATGTAGATATGTGCATGTATGTGTTATATGTATTGCATTTACATACATTGAGTTTAGAATTACTTAAAAAATTCTAAAAAATTTTTTATTAAAAAAACATTTACTGAGTGAAGATTATGTGTCACAGGAGAGGTAGTAAATAGCAAGACATACGTAGTTCTGCTTTTGTGGAATTTGCAGTTGGGTGGGCAAATAGATGTTCTGACAGATTTTTAAAGTAGGAAAACATAGTTAAAATGTAAAAATAGTTTAAAACATAGCTGTCTAGTTAGAAATCTTTCCTCAATACCTTTTTATATCTATTAGAAAAAGCCAATTATATATTCTTTATTATAGCAGTCATTTAAATTTTGTTCACAGGTTTCTTTTTTATTATTTTTTTATTGATTTGAGAGAGAAAAATCAATGAAAGAGATACATTGATTAGTTGCCTCCTATACACCCCCTGACTAGAATCGAACCCACAACCTAGGTACGTGCCCTGATCAGGTATTGAACCCGCGACCATCTGGTGCATGGGATGATGCCCCAACCAATTGAGCCACACAGGCTAGGCTGTCTGCAGGTTTCTTAAAATCAAGTTCCACCATTGTATCTATCGATATTTACTATATTAGAATTAAAACAAAAATTTAATTACTAATTTATTAAAAAATAACAATAATAATCTGATTACATGATAATATATAGACTATTTTTCATGAACAATAATATTTCCAGAAACCAAAAAATTAATAAGTGAAATTGTTTTACATTTTTGCACATCTCTTTAATATCTGGCTTAATAGAAGACAGGTAAATTTTTATATCTGCTTCAGCATTCAGTTTGTCACAATATATTGTTTTAATTGAAATATATGAAGGAAATCCAGCATCATATAATTTATAATTAGAAGGAGAGAATATTTAATGCCTTTTTTAGATAATTGTGGATATTCTTTGAAATCATACTCAAACTCAACAAGTAGAAATTTCCTAAGGATTATTTGCAATGTCGGATTTCAAACTATTTTATTAAGATCTATACATTAGAATTCAGAAGATGGCGGCTGACAGGACAGCAGGGAGAGACAGTGACAGAGTTAAGCAGCGCGAGGAGCATGTGGGGAAGTATGTGGTGTGTGCGTGGGTGAGTGAGGGACAGATAGATATCTCAGGAATACCAGGGACTGGCAGATTGGGCTCGCCTTGGGCACCCCGACGCTGGTTTGGCTTTGGTGTGGAAAGCACATCATCTTGTAGAAGGAAGTAAAGGAGGCCAAGAGTGCTGCCCCACCAACATCCGGACTGACCTTGGGCAGAACCCCCGGACCTGGGCAGGGAGCCGCTTGCCAGCTATAACCTGCGTGGAACCATCACCGTGCCCCAGCAGTGAGCAACATGGTACCGCGACGTGGGTCCCAGACGACTTCAGTGGGAGCACATCAGCCAGATCTTCGGAGCAGAGTCTCCAAACCAGAGCCCAAACCCAGCGCCCCAGGATCCCACGCTTCAGGTCCTCGTGCTGTGAGTGCAAGCTATGGGTTCCCCACTCCCCACTCCATTCCTGATACCAATACAGAACCTCAGCCCAGTGTGTCCTACACCCCTGCCCAGACGGAACCCTAGCCAGGTGAGCGCCCTGCCCCTGACACTGACTGAGCACGCTCTGCAGCCAACTTAGAGCCCTCACAGGGCACTGAGTGAGGGCCTTACCCCTTGTGCAGACTGAGCATGCTCTGCAAACCAGTTTTGCACTCCACTGCCAGCTTAGGCAAAGCCTGCACAGGGCCAGCACCCCGCCTCTGGCACAGCCTGAGTGCACAGTGCCATCATCTATCCCCTGCCTCCATCTTAGGCAGACCCCTTGCAGGGTGAGCATCCCATCTCTGGCACAGATTGAACACGCCCAGCCACCAGCATAGGAAGAGCCCCTCAGGGCAAGTGCCCAAGCCTTGGCATAGACTCAGTGTCCCCAGCGCAAGCACAGATAGACCCTTTGGCTGGGACACACCCCACTCTAGCTGCAGCCCAGAGTGGGATCGCATCTGGCTGAGACAGAACCTTGCACCAGGAAAAAAAAAAAAAAAAAAAAAAAAAAAAGAACCTTGCGCCAGTGGGTGATCTGCCATCAGCACAGACAGAGCCTTCTGCTAGTGTATACCCTGTCCCCAGGATAGACAGACAGCTGTCAACCGGTGCAGGCCCTACCCACAGCACAGGTCAGAGCTGCTGGCGCGACCTGGTGTGCCAAATCACAGGTCACAGGACCACACTGCAAGTGCACTGCCAGAGGGACCTAAGCTGCAGGAGCACAGTGAACTGTATGCCAGAGGGCTCTGGGCTCTCACAGAGAGTAGCACTACTAGGGGTACTAGGCGACCCCAGCAACCTGAGAAAGGGATAATTGAGGAACCAGAACCGTGAGAGAAGGGGTTACAACTCAGAGCAGAGACAAAAAAGGTATGAAATTCAAGGGAGACCCAGCCCCTGGGGCTAGCGAGTCCATGGCCATTGGATTGTGAGAGGCCTCAATCCCTTACACACCAAGCAGGTAACCCAGGGCCAGAAAGAAACAGCAAAAATGGGGAGAGAGAGAAAACCAAGATGGCGACATAGGTAAACACCTGAACTTGCTGCCACACACAACCATATAAAAACTACAACTAAAAGACAAAACAAATATCATCCAGGACCACAGGAAGGCTGGCTGAGTGGAAATTCTACAACTGGAAGGAAAGAGAAAAGTGCATTGAGTCCCATAGGAGGTGCGGAATTGAAGTGTGGAGGTACGGAGGAACACTTGAAAGGGGATGGTAGCTGGGTATGCTGTTGTCTTTTTGAATTGGGAGGGAGATACAAACTCCTGACTGCTTTTAACTCCAGTTCCGGGCAAGACTCTGGGGACCCAGACTCATACAGGGAGAAACTGGACTGTCTGACATTGGGTCAGAACACGAGGATGGCTTTCTGTCAGAGCTGCCTGCAGCAATCATTGTTTCTGCACAGTGCCGCAGGACACAGAGGCTGGGGGCCTCTTTGGGGTAGGGCTGACAGGAAGCCATTGCTGTTTGCTCCACCCGTGATTCCCTGAGACCATGCTCCACTCAATTTACAACCCCATCCAAGATGTGTGCAGAGGTGTTTCCATATGAATGGCCTGGCCTTTCTCTACCTAAAAACATGTCAAACTGCAACTGGATCAGAGAGCCCCTGAGCCTCCAAAAGAAGGCCTAAGGCTGGATAGCAGCTTGCATTGCTTAATAGCTGGCTTCATCTTGGCACCTCCAAACCCCAAACAAAGAGGAGGAATTTGAAGATCTCATTGTAGCTCGTGTTGGGTGGCCTCAGGCAGTGGCTGACTTTGCACCTCCATGGAGATCCCAATGATCAGAGTGAGATCATCCAGATTACAACTCTTCACATCTTTAAGAAACATACTGAGGGAGCAGACTCAGTGAGCACATAAGCCTCATAGAAGCAAGTCCTGTCCCATAAGGGTGTCTCTAGCACTGAAGTTCTCCCATTGTAGACACAACTGGTCCTCATAGTAAATTGGCTTGGAAATCAATTCTTCCCAGTGATTACAACACTGCACACGTCCCACAAAGGGGTGCACTAAGAGTGTCTACCTCAAGTGACTGGGGAGGCTGAGCCACTAGGCCTATAGGACACCTAGCATACAAAGCCTGCCACTCTTATCAATTCAGGGAAGTAGCCAAATTGCAGAGACAATGAAACAGGTCACAAATGAAAGAAATGGAGGAAAGCAAACTGGATATAGAGTTCAAAACCACAGTTATAAAGTTACTCAAGAATCTTCTAGATACATCTGAGAAATTTAGTGAGATTCTCAAGGATATGAAAAGGGCAAATTAGAAATTAAGCATATACTGACTGAAATAAAGGATAATATACAGAGATCCAACAGCAGATTAGAGGATCCTGAGAATCAAGTCAAAGATTTGAAATACAAAGAAGCAAAAAAAAACACCAACAGGAAAATCAAAAGGAAAAAAGAATCCAAAAATATGAAGATAGTGCAAGGAGCCTCTGGGACAACTTAAAGGATATCAATATCTGGATTATAGGGGTGCCAGAAGAAGAGGGAGAACAAGATATTGAAAAACCCATTTGAAGAAATAATGACAGAAAACTTCCCCCACCTGGTGAAAGAAATAGACTTACAAGTCCAGGAAGTGCAGAGAACCCCAAACAAGAGGAATCCAAAGAGGATCACACCAAGACACATCATAATTAAAATGCCAAGAGCAAAAGAGAAAGAGAATCTTAAAAACAGCAAGAAAAAAAGTTTACCTTAAAGCACATGTGTCAAACACAAGGCCCGCGGGCCAAATCTGTCCCGCCAGGCCTTGCAATGTGGCCCGCACTGCGCTGTCATCACTGCACTCCGCTGCGTTTCCATCACAATGACAGTTTATGACTGTTCAGTAAACCATTCGGCCCACGATTTAGGCTGGATTTTAGATTTTGGCCCCTTCTCTGATTGAGTTCGACACCCCTACCTTAAAGGGAGCATCCATACGATTGTCAGTTGATTTCTCAACAGAAACTATGCAGGTCAGAGGGGGAAACC